AGTTCGTTTGATAATTCGATCCTTTGGTAGCCAAGGATAAGCAAATGAAAGCCAGTCAAAGACCTAGTCAGTCCAGAAGCGAGCAACCCAGAACCCTAACTGAAAGGGGCTGTTTCAGAAAATTTACAGAAGTAGAAACATCGATGGAAGTTAAGCAAGCGTCTGCAATCAGTAAAAGGTAAACAGCCGCATAGAGCAGAGTGCTTGAAAGGAGAAATTCTCCGGTAATCAGGAAACTAGCAATTGCTACCAAGATTAATGGACGGAGGAAGCTTTAGAGGAAACATTATTGAGTATTCATTTACCCACAAATAAAAGGGGAAACCGCGGAAGTGCTTGAATTCGTGAAACAGTGGAACCAAGAACACGAGCCATAACTGTGGCAGAGAGTACCTGGGCAAGAACTTGCTTGGGCAGGCCGGAAGCTTGGAAGAAAGCAACGGCTTCAGCACCACTGATCTGACCGTCGCCATCCAAATCTGCTCGCCGGAAATATGAATCGAACAGATCAACACCCGCGTTCTGCCCCGCCATTCCCCAAATCTAATTCTGGCCAGCCGGAGCTCAAAATTTCTCAATTGGGGATCACTCGTGGACGCGAGATCCCTCTCTCAATCCCTATCTCTGCGTCGCGAAATCTATTTGGATTCGATTAAATTTCCTCCAGCGATTCTGCTTTGCTTTAGGGCGGAAAACCGCAGGCAAATCTCAGACCAGAGAGGGGAGAGAGAGAGAGAGCCACCGTGAGAGAGAGAAGAGATCGGGAGGAAGATGGGCATGGATCATTCCACGGTAGCAAAAAGAAAGAGTGGAAACGAAATAAAGAAATGAATCCGAGCCCATGCATAATTCGGGCCCATCAAAAGATCACAGTTTAAACTTTAAAACCATTGAGCTTCCTACCGTTTGGTGGTGGGTGGGTCATTTACCCTCAAAAGTTCAAAACCAACTGATATATTGTATTACTTTTTTTTGTCAAAATGATATATTGTATTACTAATTTATATTCGATACTAAAATATCTTTTTCTCAAAATATAAAACTTTATTAATTAAATGGTAATTATTTTTCAAAAATTTTCTTAACTTGCAACATAAATAATATGTCATTTATTTAAAACATACAACAAATGTACATAAACTGTTTCATGTTCACAAATGAGATTTTTTATGTTAAATTATGCAATAAATTATTATCATTTTTTTTTTACTTTGTAGCATTAATATTCAGTTGGTTTGTTTTAATTAAGGATGGTAATTGGACTCGTGCTCGCGAGTATCCAACCCAATTCAACACAGTTAAAGCGAGTAAAAACAATATTGACGGATTTGTGGTTGGGTGCGGATCAAACTCACTTCTCGAATAGGTGGGATAGGATGGATGCAGGTTTAGTCAAAACCTAACCTCCTATCCGCTTGACCTGCTCTTGGAAAGAAAATTGATAAGTTATTAATCAATTTGCTCATAAGTTACTAGTTGAGGTGGCTCGCTAGCAATATTGACGAACCAATTCATAGCTTAAACGAGTTAACTCACGATTGAGGTCAACAAATCATCGAATCGAGTTGGCTCACTACCCTAGAGTATCTCTTCCTAAAGTATCATAAGCTTCAGGTTGTTATCCTTGAATAACAAATTCTTTTATGCAATGAATTTATTTGTTTAAGGGGTCATTTGGATTAGAAATTTCCAAACTTTGAGATTTTTGAAAAATTGCTCTGTCTAAAAGCTGATATTTTTCATATTGTGAGATATTCATAAATGTCTTGTTTGGACTCTCGTTTTATGAAATTTTCATTTTTTCAATCTAATAACAAAAGTACACTTTTTCCCTTATGAAACCCCCTTTTCTTCCTTCTCCAACTTCAAATAACATAACTGGAGATGGAGATTGGAACATGGAGATCTGATTTTAATCTAGAGATGGCGATCTCCATATGCCATCACACCTCGTCAGTGCGTTAATGTGGGATATCCATCATCAAGCACTTGTCACTGTGTCGCCGCGATTTCGACATCCATGGGAGTATGCGACAAGAGAGACGAGATATTCGATACTTTTCAGTCTATTTCGAAGGTCAAAGATGTGGCATAGCTATAGAGCTCGAAGAGAGGAAAACATGTCATGGTTGAGCACAAAGGTAGGATTGAACTTTGGATTTGATCTGGAGCGAGTGGGACCCGAGACGAGTTATGAGTAGGCATATCTGGGTAGAGAGTGGGCAATTTTGATATGTGAGGTCACTGATGGAGAGGAGATTTTGGACGTTGATTGAGTCGAACAGGGCACCGATCGGGCATTAGAGAGGAAAAAAGAGAGAGAGTTGGTCGGTGGTGGTCTCGGCAGAGGGACGGTTAGAGGAATAGTTGGAGAGTCAGAGTTTGCTGGAAGGTAGAGGTGGCAATTCTCAATTCAATCCACCTATCCAATCCATCAATCCATTAAAAATATCTAACTAATCCAATTCATTTAAATCCATTCAATTTGATCCAAATCCAATTAGATTGGTGGATTCAAATGGCAAATTACAATTTAGTACCTATAATTTTTATATTTTATATTTTGGTACCTAAAATTTAATTTTTATACTAAAAATATCATTGAAAAATTATGTTTTGGTATCTTAATTTTTTCATTATGGCATTTTAGTACCTAAACTTTTCACATTTTACATACTGGTCCAAGGTTGAGGATGTCATTTGGATTCATGGATAATCCACCAATCCACTTGATCCAATCCATTTTATCCAATCTATTTGATCAATGGATCCACCAATCTAATCCACCAATCAACGAATCCAATCCATTTGCAACATCTATTGAGAGGAGATGGGAAGAGGAGGAAGAAAAAGAAGAAGCAGCTGCAAGAAGAATAAGTTTGAAATGATTGGGGGAATGTGGATTTTCAACATAGTAGGGTACATCTACGTCAGAATTCAATATTTGTGGGCTTTTGAAATTCACAGCTCTCAAATCCCACATTTGTGAAACCCTTCCCAAATATGGCATCTCGACAAAAACTAACGTTATATGGGATTGTGGCAAAATCTTATCCCCAAATCTCTAATCCAAATGAACCCTAAGTCTACAAGCTAACATATCTCTCCCACAAGCCTTACAATGTAGTGTCTTCAACAGGAGTGAGGTTGTTGGAACTTTAGGACCATACTTAGATTTGACATCCCTTACTGGTTTCTCCGAGCTTTTGTGATTGTTTACACATAAAAATTAAACTCGTACACATTGATTAACCATAAGGAATTTGGTGGCTTTATAAGGTCAACTCAACATTCAGCATTAATTGCTTTAAGTTGGGTCTCAATGAGTTGGGGTTTTGGCCCAATAATCGAGCGACCTCATCCTCGTGTACCAGATGGTCAACTGGTCTCAATGGACTAGGTGATGGCTTGGTGACAACTGAATAAGGCGACAAGATGTCAAGTCAACAAGACAAACTTGATGAAAAGCCAACAAAGAACCAAGTCGATGAATATCAACTATGTTCAAGTGGTGTGCATGAGTCAAACTATCCAGGTTATAGGCATTTCATTATCTGAACCATACCCTACGATTTTAATAATCATAAATCCACAAAAATGGATTGAGACCTTGTTACTCTATTGGGGTTGGGTCGATCTAAATGGTTTGGATAAAAACTCAATACAACGGCTGGTGAAAATCACATGAAAACATACAAGAAAAACAAAGGCATATAGATAATAAAGCACATACCAACTATTTATCACAATATTAATCTTTCATAGTAATGCACTAAACATGACCAATTTGGGGCCTAGACAAATGACTAATACCTTCATGTGTGTTGATTGGTAAATTTTATAATAACCTTTTAAGGAGGAATCCTTAATAAGGATGAGTTTGATCACCATAAAAGATTTTTATGATGACCAAAAGTAGTTAAGTAATGATAATAAATTAGACAATATAAATAATTGATTAAAAATCTCAGCTAATTCGTCAGGTATAATTTAAACATTATAATATGTTTAAAGGACAGTGCTCAAAGAAAACTACCAAAATTATTTATAAAGGCTAAGGTTTGAAGTTAGGGAAACTTCGACTGAGATAGATCAAATGGTTAAGAGAGGCAGTCAATAATTAGGCTAATGTTTGATGAACCTCTAGTTAATGCCATAGGCCTAATGCAAAGATTAAGAACCCAAATTAAAGATTGAGAACTAACAGTTTAGATTTAATTATTAGAAAATTTCACTATCCATTACTTTGAATTACAACTTGAGACTCAATCATGTTGACTTAATTTTAACAAAAGCACATGCAAAGGGTTCAAAAATCTCAAACGTCACACTCAATTATCGTTTGTTTTCTTATAACTTTATCTATTAAACTACAATATGTTTTTTTTAACCAATGTACCTCTTAATTTAACAAGGGCTCTTTCTTTTTAGTTTAAATGAAAAATAATTTTCTTATATTGAAGTTTTAAATTCATACTTAGTTTATCTCATCGCACTTTTATTAATTTTGTCAAATTGTAATAATTTTTTCATAATTAAAGTGAAGAGGTGGTAGATTATTCTTAATCAAAACTTGAAAAAAAACTATTTGGCCATTTGGTCGGCCACAATCTACTAAAAAAAGAGTAAACATTCATATGCATTCTATAAAGAACAAAATTATTCATAAGTCAACCTAGAAATGTTAAAATAAATTATTTTTTAAAACTAAAGATTCATCTTTAAAATATATAGTAATATTGCATTAAATATCTCCCCCACTAGCACTCCACCGGAGGATCCTCTCATTTTTTTTTTCTTTCCCTGTTACTATTCTCTCTCTCTGACACGCAATGTCCAAGCAAAAGCACCAAAAAAATAGAGGAAGAAAAAAATGGGGAAAATGAGAGAAAGGCGGAGAAGGCCTTGTATCCACCGCCACTCGTAATTTTGGACACAGAGCCATCCAACCCCTCATTGATGAAGTTGTAGCAGGTGAGACAAGAAATCAACCAGAGCCAGCCATCATAACAACCATTTCAGACACCTTCTCTTATCCTTTCTTCGTTTCCTTTGCACTTTTTAATATTCAACTAATCCAATAAATTAAGTTTTTTTAATCCTAACTATCAAGACCTTAATCCCAAACCACCCAGATAAAAATCTAATCCCTCCCCCTTTCTTCCCCATCAAATTACTTGTTTGGTGTGTGGAAGAGAAAGAGAGAGAGACCAACAACAAAGATTGTTAGCTAGCCACCGCAAGGCGAGAGACAAGAGAGAACATGTCTTGCTCATCATCGTCCGCATCCGATGAGGATGAGGAGGGAATCGATTCTTACAGGAAAGGTGGTTATCACGCTGTTCGAATTGGTGATCCTTTCAACAAAGGCCGTTACATCGCCCAACGAAAGCTTGGCTGGGGCCAGTTTTCCACTGTCTGGCTTGCTTACGATACTCAATCATCTGTATGTTTTTTTACGAATAATATTATATATGTTGATCACGCCCTCTCTATATATTCATTTGTTTTTGGTGTTCAGATTTTTTTTTATTAGCTCAATTGGCATTTGATTGGTACTTTTACCTTTTTCCCAATTCTTTTATGCCCTCCTACTTCATGTAGTGACAGAAATCATTAATGTCATATTATTGTATTGGATTATGAGATCTTCTCATTTGATGTTTGTTTAACTTATAGTGAAGCTTCACTATTGCTCTCTTTCTATTTTTTTTTTGTGTTATTCTCTTCTGCAGACTCACCCTGATTGTTATGCTGCCTCAATTTCTGTTTGAGTATCATATGTGGATCAACCATTCGTTAGGCAATCTAATTGATATTTTTGTTTTGGGTCGAAATTGCATGTCCAATTTATTGAATTTAGTTTTTTTTATTTGCCCCAGAACTATGTTGCTCTAAAGATCCAGAAAAGTGCGACACAATTTGCACAAGCGGCCCTGCACGAGATTGAAGTTCTTTCAGCTATAGTCAACGGTGATCCCTCTAATACCAAGTGTGTTGTCAGGTTGATTGATCACTTCAAGCATTCTGGTCCAAATGGGCAACATCAATGCATGGTTCTTGAGTTTCTTGGTGATAGCTTACTTAGGCTGATCAAGCATAACCGTTACAAGGGCCTTCACTTGAATAAAGTTAGAGAAATTTGCAAATGTATTCTTATAGGTTTGGATTACCTGCATAGAGAACTTGGGTTAATCCATACTGACCTCAAACCTGAAAATATTCTTCTTTTCTCCACCATTGACCCAGCAAAAGATCCAGTTAAATCTGGGTTATCCCCGATTCTTGAGAGACCTGAGGGTAACCTTAATGGTGGGTCTACTATGAATATCATCGAGAAGAAGTTGAAAAGTAGGGCCAAAAGGGCAGTTGCCAAAATATCTGGGGGAAGAACTTCAATGGGAGGTCCCACACAAAAGCCCGAGAGAAACTTGAATGGGGTTGATTTGAGGTGCAAGGTTGTAGATTTTGGAAATGCATGCTGGAATGCTAAGCCATTTGCTGAAGAAATCCAAACACGACAGTATAGAGCTCCTGAAGTCATTCTGAGGTCTGGCTATTCATATTCTACTGATATGTGGTCATTTGCTTGCACTGCTTTCGAGCTTGCAACTGGTGACATGTTGTTTGCTCCGAAGGGAAGTCAGAGCTTTTGTGAGGATGAGGTAGGATGGTATTGATTATGTTTGAATATTGTTGCTTAATTACATTTTACCATAATTTCTTCTCAAGTAAGTTTAATTTATAAGACTATGATGTATAAATTTTTAGACAATATGACTATTAACACATGGTACATTTGTTTTGGAGGGTTATATTAAAGGTGATACAAAATTGATATAAAGTATATGAAGTATGGCAGACTGAGTAGTCTTTTTAAATAGGATTCAACATGTTACGAGCTTTCTCTCAATCTCTCCCAAACAAGGACGATTTTTGTGAATGTTCCACTGTATTAATTCTCTAAAATTATGATAATTCAAAGATGCATGTGCTTTGGTTGCACCATATCTGTCAGTTCCATATGAAATCTACTGGTTTTAAAAACCCTAGAACATATGATTAGATTTATGATGAGACATGTCTGAATAATTTTGGTGGCTTTGTGCCTTTGTCTAGTTAGAAGATTTGCATTGATATTATGCATGTTTGTGTTGAAATTTTCTCTTTGATCCATCCCCGAATCGTAAAGCGGGATTCTGATGAATGTGGTTCATTTGCAGGATCACCTTGCTCTGATGATGGAACTTCTTGGGAAGATGCCTCGAAAGGTGTCACACACATTCTCATTAATGGATTCCTAATAACGAGATGCATATGACTCAGTTTAACACATGTAACCTTTTAATAATCATTTACAGATAGCAACTGGAGGAGCAAGATCTAAGGACCTGTTTGACAGGCATGGAGACCTAAAGAGGATAAGGAGGCTAAAGTATTGGCCTCTGAACCGATTATTGATTGATAGGTACAAATTCTCTGACGATGAAGCTCGCGAATTTTCAGATTTTCTATGTCCTCTTCTTGAATTTGCACCAGAAAAGCGACCGACTGCTCAACAGTGCCTCCAACATTCATGGATCAACCGCACAGTATCTACCAATGTCAGCATGGAAAATAAAGGTGTTGCTATGGAGAAGTTGGAAAAAGGGGTGAGTAGCCTCCATATGAAGGTGGGAAAGTAGAGAACGGATGACGGAAGAGGTGCTTGCTTGCATCATTTTCAAGCCCTCCCTCCACTTGTATAAAATGGATTTCTTTCTTTCTTTCTTTCTTTCTTTCTTTTGTATGTTTTGTTATATTGAAGTACCAAAATCAATTTTCTTATTTCAAGTTCTTGTTTGGTATTTGTTAATGACTGATTGACTAAAACTGGAGTGGTAATGGGTACTATTTTGAGTGAGGAGAGATGACATGAAGCCAGGGGGTGGTTGTACTAATCAGAATAGGTTAACATATTATTGTATTGACTACATGTTAATGATTTTTTCTATTGAGAAAGTATAATCTCTTATCTCTGTAATGGAGTATGGGGTTGTCTTATAGACAACCTACAAGAGCAGCAATTTGTAATTTGCAGGTAGACGTAAATTTTTTTGTATGCATATTAGTTGTGAGTTTGTAGATTTCGAGCTCATAGGTTTGTTTGTTGTCTTTGGTTTTGGACATAACGAGTTATGTTTTTCTTGACGTAGTTGCTTTGGCGTGTCGTATTTTTCTAATTTCTGCCTTTCTTTTCATATTTTAGTACTTTCTCATATTCAGATTGCGGTGCAATGTGTTTGCCACTTCATAAGAAAATGAGATGGAAAACTTCATAATTTTTCCCTCCTTTTTTGTTTAGATAGTTGTTACTTGTTACTACAAACTAATACGAGCCATGCACATAACAAGAAACAACAATGTAACTATCATATACAGTAACTGGGTGCAATGAGGGGTGGGCATGTGAGTGGTTAATCTGCGAGTTGATGGCGATCCACCCTCAAATAACCAGAACCGCAACCAGTGGGTGGATTGCAGATTGATAAATCTCCTATCCGCACTTATGTGGGTGGGTGGTGGGTGGATTGTGGGTCACCCGAATGACCCGCACTATATTTTCACTTTATAAAATATTTTTTCTTATGCTATCGAATATTCATCATATTATTAACCGCACTACACACTGACCATCTACTTCTAAAAATGGAGAATAAAGAACATTTTTAGACCACTATAATTAGTTATTATGTTGTGTAATATCCATTAGATATTGGATACAAATTATAAGTTATTAATTTTATCAAAGTCTCAAAATGCATAAGTTTTCTCAATTTCTCTACACAATGGGTTGATAGAGTATTGTAAATTTTCATGGAAATACTACATGGATTCACATGAGACAAAGTGGGAAGTGTGTAAGTTGATAAACTCTTACTAATTTACAAGGAACTTATTATAAATATTATTAGTCTTTCTTAATGGTTAGTTGATGAATTGCTTTTACTGGTTAACTGACAATCCATTCGCACCCATCCGCCACCCACGCAACCCAATCAGTAGAAGAATATGGGTGGATCGCGGGTCACAATTATACCAACTCGCTAGTAAGCGGGCGGGTCGATTTAAGACCAAAACTCACTCAACCCGGTCATTGCCCACCCCTAGGTCCAACGACATATTTCACCACAAGATACACACATTTGAGACCAAGTGATACAGTAATCTTTAAAGTCCATTATGAGGTCTCCAAATTTTTAGGATTTTCAATTGATTTATTTCTAAGCTAATTCTCTATTCGGTAGCCAGAAAAGCCATTATAGAATACCTCTAACGTATTCCAAAGTTTGTTTAGACTCATGAAATAGGCCATTATAGAATACTGTAACATAGAGTCGTGTATCAATTCCATGTGAGGATACTTTCTCAACAAGGATTTAAAGCGATCCCATACTTCAACTAAAGTTTCTCCATCATGTTGGCGAAATGCTAGGATCTCTCAATGGATGGGTCATGGTTGTACGGGTTTGACTACAAAGGCTCAATAGTAGGTATCCAATTGATCCTCCCCTTCAAATCACTCATCCTCTCATTTCATAGTAAAGGGCTCTTTGCTCCTCACTATATGTGTCCCCTATCTAGTGGCCCGAAAACAAAGGAAGTACTCGTAAATCTAAGATTGTATCATAATCCAGTTTTATACGCCATGTCGAGTTGCATATTAAGGAGACTGAACCAGACCCCACGTGTAACTCCTCACCCGTGTGAGATCCCTTAAGAATTGAAGTAGCGCAAGCTACACACAACCCTAGCAAAAAAAAGTAGGTACATCACACCTTAGACTAATTGTCTATGAACCCTTGAAGTTGAACCCTCTTCATCTTACCGTCAACACATCAGAATCCATGGTAAAAAGCTTACACATGTCGTAGGTGTAGACACCACTTTTTGTCCGGGTGAAACAAATTTAATTAAATAAATGTTAGTTTTTGTTTAAAGTTAGCAACAACGAATTTTAAACAAAGTTCTAACTGAAGTCGTATTTACAGTGCTTGGGTTGAGTCTTGTTTTCCATAAGGCAATGAGATTAGCAATAACAAATCTCCATTGATACAATCTATCAGTGACGAGTTGACGTGTTTAGACAAAAAATGTTTAAGTTCGATTTTGGTTGCCATGCTAGTTAATTGCTTCTTAAGACATTGGGCCTTGCGAGAATTGCGTCGCAATTTCTAAATAGTAAAATATAAGACATAACAATTTTATTAAGATGAATACAATGCTAAACAACTAAAATCATGATTACAATACATAATAATTACAAATAATTACATTGTTAAACTAATATTAAATAACACTAATTACATCACACAATAATAATTACATAACACTAAGTACACAACTCAAATCATAATAATAAATACATAATTAATCGAATCATATAATCAAATATGCAAATTAGGCACAAATAATAATACACCCAACCATTAAAAACTTATCGATTTAAGTAGTACACATTTGGGGCCTTGTGGCATGTGAATACACTTCCCCACACGTAAAGGTACCCCAGTACCCATAATCTCTAAATTCGCAGACCAAATCCCGGGTCTGGCCCTAAGGTCGAGATCGGGCAAAATTAGTGTTCGACCCACTACAACTAAGGTCGATGACGACTTCGAACATTCGCGAACAGATCCCTGATTTTGAAGGGAGGTTGCGACAGTAGTTCAAATGGTCGCCTCCTGAACCAAACAACTCTCTTTGTACTGGAATCCCGAGTATGAAAAAGACTTCATGGAGCATATGATCTTCACTTCTCCATAAATGTCGCGAATAGACGCACATTTAGAAAGCGGATGGACCACTTGTATAATTGGTGAAACCCCGCCACGTACCTAGGCCAAATGCTCAACACTCACACTAAAAATCTTGTACCTCTCAGACCCAAGCTTGCTCTATCCCGAGTGTAGAACTTCAAGTACGTCAGTTGATCAAGACTAGATCTCCCTCTAAGTGATAGTGACTATGATAACTTCTTCTCTGATGATATTCAAGCAACTAGATCTTCCTCCATGTGCGATTCAGAAGAGGACAAGGACTGAAGCTTCTTTTCATGTGACTTTCCGGCAACTAGGGACGATGAAGATGACCTTATTTCTTCTTCTCCGAAGATAGGTGGCCAGCTCCGGTGATGGCAGAGAGTTTGGTTGACCACTGCTAGAGAGATTGAGTTGGGAAAGTTAGGGATGGAAGAGATGTTTGGTTAGATTGATTCAGGAATTCTATAGTTTAAGAATTACAAGATGAAACAAGGACAAAAATGTGGTGGATTTAACACGATGAACAAACCCAATTTAGGGTGACGATATCACTTTAATTTACAATTGTATCTAGACGGGCCATTGTATACTCGCGAATCGCGATATGCAGAACAAGTATATTATGAAATATTGAGGATCCAAAGATTCTACAGTTATTAGAATACTCATAACAATAGCGAGCAGAGACAAGTCGTTTCAATCCTTGCAACTCATGGATCTCTTTTCTTCTCAGATTAATTAGTAGAGAGACGTGGTTCTCAACCATTAATGACCCACCATGTGTCAAAAGATCGAATGGTGGTTAGCATGTTTGTCATGCCACTGGAATGTTGGTCGGTTGAAATGATATAAATAATGTCGCTCATGAAACCGGTTGGAATACCACCGGTATGACTAATTTTTTGCCTCTCAACAAAATGACGTCGTTTTACTGAATTTAATTAAGCAAAAATTATTTTTTGATTTATTTCATGTATTTAAAAAAGTTAAATATTGATGTTATTTGTTGAATTCAAATATAAAAGTTTAGGTGTCGATGTCAAATATTATATTTAAATATTAATACTTATTATTTTGAATATATTTTTATATATGCTTACATTCATTTGATGTTAATGATTTTTCAAAATTTTACATATTTTGTTAGAGCATCTACATCAATCCAATTGTAAAAGCAATTGCATTTGTGTTCTTTAATGCCAAATCAACTTTTTTGCCCATCAACTCACATTACTTTCATTTATCTACATCAATGCAACTAGTTTTGTGCCCACCCGATGGGCGGCGAGTGTAATTTGTTTGTACTTTTCTTTCTATTATGTGTTATTTTTTTCCAATGGTATCAGATTCCTAATTTTCATATTTATTTATTATTGTTACCTATTATCACTAACTTATCTGATATGAGGGCCGCTACATTTACTCTATGTTTTTATGATGATCAACAATAAAGTCAAACAACGCTGTAACTTCATCACCGCTTGGAAAAGATTACTCATGACCATCAGATCTTTGATTGACTAAAAATTGTCAACTTCATAAGTTGTACATGGTTTAAGCTCGTGTAAGCCACCTTACCGTACTCCTATAGAGTTGGTATTTAGACCATGTATTAACGGAGTTTGGCACATGATGCTATACCATATTCTCTAATAGATGAAACACAGTCTCTAATTCTCTAATTCAAATAGTAAGATTCATTTAATGAAAAATAATACCCACCGATTCTTATTTGTCAAAATGTATTAACATACAACTAATAGGTATGAATGAAGGTGCATATTACACCTTGAGTGCACGCTAGCCTTTTCCACCATTATATCAAAGTACAACCAAACTATTCTCTAGGCTTCTTACCTTCAACATTGTACGAATGATATCAAAGCAAATGTTAGTTATTGAGATACTTTGTCTTCACTTCACATTATCATCCAATATTAAATATGTGACTGACTGTAACTGGAATTGTGTGATAACTTAATACAAACATAAAGGCGCTCTGTTGTGCAGTCAGTATAGTAACTGAATTTACAGGACATCGTCATGATATGATCTTGCATTGGTTTTATAGGACACCGGTCCGGGTACATCCCACCCTGGTATACATGATATCAGATAGAGTATGTCCCGGAATGGATTTATAGGACACCAGTCTAGGTACGATATGTGGTGGTATGCATGACATCTACTATACTACCTGAGGAATGTATGACTTAGCAAATTAAGATGTAAAATGCAATGAACCTAACCATGCATGTGATTGAAATATTGAATCCTTTTATAAATATTACTTATGATGTGGTTAAGTGATGACTTTTTAATGATGTGATATATGAAATGTGCATGTCAATGATGATGGTTTTCTATGGTGTTTTGTACAATGATTTAAGATTGGATGATATGATGTTTTGCTATGTTGGGACAGGGGGTTACATGGTAATGCCAGTATGATGTGATATTTGATGCATATATGTTTAAACATTGAGTTATCAAGAGACTGGGTGATGGTCCTTATGTTGTGATGTATGAATTCTTTGAGTTTGAGATGATGAATGTGATATGGCATGTGGTGATGAATGAATGTTTATTTGACTGAATAAGATATAGCATATCGGATATATCTTGACAGTTAAGTTAAGCCAGTAAGGCCTGAGAGGTGGGTGACGGAAAACTGAATACTCCATGTGCTGCCATGGTCAATGGGAGGGACAATAAGTAATTTTGAACTATACTCTTAAAGGTAACGGAGAAGAAATATATAATTATCTTATGAGTAAGGTTGTCGGGCGAGTATAACTGGTTATTAAAAAAAGATAGTAATATATGTATTAGGGTGTCATATTAAGTAAGGATTAAAATAGTTATTTACATATCAACCATCATATGTCCAATAGCTTAAGATTTGTTTACAAATCTTGCTTAACTTAGGTGTTATTCATCTGAATATGACTCAAAGTTGCACATCTACACTCATATATGAAAAAGAAAGGAATTTATGTCAAACAATAAAAAGAGAAAAGAAAGGAAATATAATTACATTAGGAAAAAAGTAAAGACAATGTATTTTATTTGATTTGGGGGTTTTCGATTTCTTCAAACAGTGTATTTTATAATTGTGCGTGGAAGAATATTTAATGACGTACGGAAAATGAAAAGAGAAAGAAGTCTAAATAACATAAAAGAAAAGATAATGATATCATTTTACTATGCGAGAAATGCCAAATTCAATCCTAAAAATGACAAATGCATTATGTATATGTACATGACTCTTTTTTAACTTCTTTCACTAATTGGTCACAAACATATTTAAACCATATAACCATAATTCGGTTTTGAAAGATATACACAAAAAATTGGTGACCATTGGTGTCTAGTGATATTCTTAAACACATGAAATTTTGTGTATATATCACTGTAGCATATGACTGAACTATGTTGATATATTTCATATATTTATAGTAAGTATTTTCTAAATAATTGCAACATATCTACATTGGTTCACATATTTATAGTAGTTTGTACCAACAAAATGTTAAATTTTTCGTGTTCTAGAATGCGGAAGAAGATTATTCTTTACTTTTCATTTTTCAATTTTAAAAGATAATCATATATCAAATTATGTAAAAGTTTATAAGTGTGTACAAACTAAATTTATGCTTTTTCGGATTTTTTTAATTATTTTTAAGAAATTATAAACAATTATAAAACATATTATAAACTAAAAATAATTTAATTGTAGATGTTAATGATTTTCTTATCAATGCTAAAAAATAGAATATAAAATTTTAACCGTGATAGCTATTCTATTGGCTAAAAAATAGTTGTGATTAATTGCATGAAAGATATTTTATTCTATTGGTTAAAAAATTGAAATGATTACAGTTTGAGCTTGTAGATTGCATGATTAAATCTTAGTTATAGTGATTGATATACATGTTTTGTTGTGGTTTATAGCATCAAATATACTTTATCCTGGTGGTTGAACATTTAAAATGATGATAGTTTGACCTTGTAGGTCACATGTTCAAATCTTGGTTATGACAATTGATATACATGTTTATTTAGTTTTATTTTAATGTAACTAATAACTTAAAATGTTAAAAAATACAAAATGACATGAAAAATTGTGGAGATTTCGTTGTCCGACATGCCAAAAACTTGCTCCACAACGACCATAAGAAGATTAACTTGCAATTGGATATGTGGGCACAACTTCTTTATTAATAAAATAAAAGGTTTTAAAAAATCCATGAACACCTACATGGAATTGCAAATGAAATGGAATATAGTAGGTTAATGTGGATGCTCTTAAACCAACATGAATCAACATAAACTGGTTGTACACCTGTCCAACGGTGCAGCCGTTTAAATCGATTTGACAACCTTCGTGGTTAGTCGGGCTGTATCTGTTCATCAAAATCAGTAGGTGTCTAGTAGTACAGTGCGGCCCATGGTTGTCATTAGGGCTGCAAACAAGCCGAGTCGAGTTTTTGCTTAGCTTGAGCTCGGCTCGTTTATTAATTTTTTAGCTCGAGCTCGGCTCGAACTCGAATTTTGATAATCCAGCTCGAACTCGAGCTCGGCTTGAATAAAAATAAACTAGCTTGAGCTCGACTCGGTAGAGCTCGATAAATGCTCGTTAACATAGCTTGTCAAGCTGAGTACAAGCTCGGCTCAAGATGAGCTCGATTTAAAATCATTCTTGCTGGAAAAATGTGTAAACATAAGAATTTAAATGATAGAAAGAACACTAGAAACTATAAATAACATCTAAATTTCATACACATTTGTATTAACAAGACAATGTTCATGTTTAAAAGAGTAATTCATCCTTCCACAAGTTCTAAACAAGGCAGCTCGCGAGCTTAGCTCAACAAGCCACAGAATCAAGCCAGCTCGCGAGCTTATTAACCTGAGCATGGTCTAGCTCAAGCTTGGCTCGTTAACTAACGAGTTGGCTCGCGAGCCGGCTTGTTAAATAACGACTCGAGTGTCGAACGAGTTTTTTTCGATTCGAAAGCCGAGTTGCTCACGAGCGACTTGGCTCATTTGCAGCCCTAGTTGTCATGCCATTGGCATGCCAACCGGTCTATTTCAGTCATGAAACTGACATAAATACCATCTTATGATCCAGCATGATCAATTTACAAACTCTAAGTAAAATGATGTTGTTTTAGTGAATTTGATTGATACAAAATAAATTTATTATATGTTTTTATGAATATAAAAGTTAAAAGTTGATGTAATTTGTTGGATTCAAGTATAAATGTTTAGATATTGACATTAAATGTTGTATTTAAATATGAGTATTTGTTATTTTATTTGGAATGTTGCATTTTATTATGCCGGAATGAACCGGCACAAACTGATTGTACCACTTTGATCGTACCATTCCACTGCCAAATCGACGCAGTATAAACCGGTTTGACGGCGTGCGGCCACTAGCCAATCAAAATGAGTTGCTTTCAGTTAGGCTTGGTCTGTACTAGGCAGCTCAATTTCCAGGGCCCGACCCTTGACCACCTCTCGTATCCAATCGAGACTCGAGAGTTTCAATCGCCGCCGTGGTGTCGGTGGCGGAACAAGGACGACGGAAGAGAAAGTGTCTTGGTTTTTTGGTGGGGGAAAGAGGAGAAGTATCAATAATGTCGATGACGGTGATGCGTCCAGCCCAAGGGTGTTGTTGTCACTTCAACAATGCAATAAATAACTGCTTCAATCTCCGTTATAGGCGAACTCTCAAGACTCCATCACTAGCAGCAGAATTTCCCTTCGTCGCAGTAGCATCGCCGCCAACAAGGCTCTCTCTTTCTCTCCGTCGTCGACCACTCACCGTTGCTTCTTCCTCCGCCGCGACGATGTCGTCATCACCGTCTTACGACAAGGAGCTCGCCGCTGCCAAGAAGGCCGTCTCACTCGCCTCCCGTCTATGCCAGGCAAGCAGCGATTTAGGGTTTTAAACCAAAAATATTCCGACCCCCAAATTCCGATCTCCGCGTAATCCAATAAATCAGCTGGTTATGTGTTGTACAGAAGGTGCAAAAGGCTCTGCTGCAATCGGATGTTCAATCCAAATCGGATAAAAGCCCCGTAACTGTGGCTGATTACGGTATGATCCTTCTTCTCTTGATTTTTACTTCTGCATTTTACAACTCCAATGGCGTCCTGCTTTTTGGGTTCTGCTTCCATTTCTGATAGTGTGATTGTATAATCTAGGATCACAAGCTGTAGTTAGTCTTGTTCTCCAAAGAGAGCTCCCTGCTGATCCATTCTCATTAGTTGCCGAGGAGGTGAGTGCCTTTTCTCCTAGCTCGATGCTTCATTAGCATAAAAGAACTCTTCTGTGGACGAATAATGATAGATCGTAATGTGCAGGATTCTGGCGATCTGAGGGATGACAGTGCCCAAGATATCAGAGCCCGTATTACAGAACTTGTTAATGATACACTAAGCACCGACGAATCTTCATCTTCGACTCTGTCTGTGGAACAAGTGTTGAAGGCAATCGATTGTGGGGTGTCTGAAGGAGGCGCCACTGGCAGACACTGGGTTTTGGATCCTATAGATGGTACTAAAGGGTATGCCTCTCAAACCAACTCCAAAACTGCCACCTCCAAAATTTAGCTTCTCTTGATGATGAGTGTGCTATAATAGGTTTGTGAGAGGTGATCAGTATGCAATAGCATTGGGACTGCTGGATGGAGGGAAAGTTGTGTTGGGTGCACTGGCTTGTCCAAATCTTCCCCTAACTTCGATTGCGGGTGCCAATCAACAGCCTTCTTCTGGTGAAGTTGGCTGTATCTTCTTTGCTAAATTGGGTTCTGGAACTTACATGCAACCATTAGAGGGTGGTCCGGCTGTGGAAGTAAGTATGCTCTACTGAGAAGACATGTTTATGCCCACATGTGATGTGGCGGTTTGGTTCAGAATTGGTGTCTTTTGCCTTGCAGGTGCATGTTACAGCTACTGAGAATCCAGAAGAAGCATCCTTCTTCGAGTCGTATGAAGCAGCACACTCCCTGCGTGGCTTGACTGGCTCCATCGCTGAGGTCTTATTTTGCTTGCTCTATACTTAGCCAAGCAATTTTTCTGAAACTGCACTCTCTCGTACTCCCTGAGCAGTCATGTGCTAACTACTCGTAATTCTTCTCAGAAACTTGGTGTTAAGGCACCACCTGTGAGAATCGATAGCCAGGCAAAGTATGGTGCCCTCTCGAGGGGCGACGGAGCCATTTACATGCGTTTTCCCCACAAAGGGTACCGTGAGAAGATATGGGATCATGCTGCTGGGTGCATAGTTGTAACAGGTATGGGGCAAGATTTCTCTTTCTATTTTTCTGTTGGATATGTGGTATAACCAATCAGAATCCATCTAGGCAATTCGGCTATCATGCTGATGTAGGAGATTGTAAGTATGGGCTGATATCGATTGCGCCACTCAAGATTTCAGCTGTTGGATTGACCCACATTGTTTACAAAATTGTCACTGTATCTGTCCAAAGGATGAGATCGTGCTGTGGGAAGACAAGATGTTATTGTATCAACATATGCTTACAGGGTCATCAGCATAGTACCCAAACTACCATCGTGGAATAGTTGCTTGGTGGATGAAAGTTGACATCCGCAAGTTTCCATTTTTGTTTTTGCAGAAGCTGGGGGGCTCGTAACTGATGCTGCGGGGAAAGACTTGGATTTTTCCAAGGGTAGATTCTTGGATTTGGACACGGGGATCATCTCCACTAATGCAAAATTGATGCCATTGCTTTTGAAGGCCGTGAAAGAATCTTTGAAGGAAGGGGAAAGCTGTAGTTCCTCGATGTGATTCATGCTTTCTTTCCAGCATCAGTTTTGGCTGCCAACTCAGAATCAGAAGTGTGCTTTCTTTTGTTTCGATGGTATCTTGAGAAACTTTAGGCTGCCCCTTCCTCATCGTTTGCCTGTCCACTCCACTGACGATGATAACTACTACGACGGATATGCCAAATGTTGATTCTTCATCATGCTCGTCATCAAATTTGTTTTCTTCCTCGTCTTCCTCAGCATTGTTCACATCCTTTGATAATGTCATAACGTGTGGACAGAAGTGGTTGGCGGCTGAAGGGCAATGAAGAAGTAATCGTGATTCCTTATCTGGTGTTTGGGTAACCATTTGCTTGTCGTTTGATAGTCATCTTGGTTCCTGATTTGTGAAGTACATGGTCTTTTTACAAAGCATTGTCGATCTTTTGTATTTTGGGCCTGCAAATTTTTTGGATACATGGTATAATATGTATTCTGGAAACCTTTTTGATTTGGCCAGTGATGTCAACCATGCATTACTTGGCATTTTCTCATCATGGTCACATGCAGTCAAAATCGCGCTTTAAAAGCTTACGTCCCTTTACATTTTTAGGTCACCAAAACGCTTCTATATAGAATCTATACTTTAAAACTTAAAAGTTTACGGTTTTATACTTTTAGGTCATTCAACCGCTTCTAAGTAGAATCATGTTTTTGACTGCATTGCCCCTATGACATTTCCCCTTTTATCATTCATTTCATCATCCACGATATAGTTGTTATGAAACACATTATGCTTGAGATTGTCTTGTACGAGTGCAAGTGTGCAACTAATACAAGTAATTTAATTTCAATAGGATGTTTAAAAGTTTGATATGATTTACGAAAATGTTAGGAGTGACTATATTTCAGAAAGAAAATAAGAAATTAATAAGGGTTAATTTATCTATTTTATTCATCTAATATCTGTGTAAAGATTAATGTATGTTTTACCTTGATTTATCAAAAGAGACATTACATGAACTTAATCGATGATATAGTCTACAAATACTAAAGAACATAAACTATAAATGCGTATGAGAGCAATATCCATACCTATGCAGCTATGCTATATGTATTTTTAAGTTTTGAACAATTTTTTTCGATTGCATTTTATGCTCTCTAAACAATTTTGTTTTCAAAAGTGCAATTTTCTCTTATTCCCTCGTTCAATCCAATAGAGAGGGACACCTTTCCATGACATATTATATTAAATACAACTCATGTTTTCTAAATTTTTTACGTTCCAAAGTAACATATTGCCCACAACCACTTTTATAGTCGAATGACACCCTAGTTTCTATTAAGTTTCTATTTATTGAGATATTTTCAATATCTAATAAGTATCATAAATGATGTTGCTTGCCTTCTAGATATATTATTTTTCAATTTTTATGTTTGGATAATGTGGTTCAAACCTAGTGAAGAGTAGGCACAATAGTCAATACATGTGCGCCATAATTGAGAAAATGTGTGCATTCGAATATCGGATAATGTAAAACAAGGGAGTATATACTTTTTTATACGAGTGAATCTATGTGATGCCAAAAAACTTCTTGATCTTGAGATAATCAATGAGGTGGCTTCGGGGGTGAGATACCTGGATTGACCATGAACCTTGGTTTCCATTTCTCTCGAAAGCTAGGATTGTGAGTCGCCCTCGAGGAGCCAAGATGACATCTTGGAACATGAAGCCACATTACATGCCTTGTTCACCTTAATGAGCTAGATGCCACTGAGAATCCAGATTGGCTGGGAAATTTTGCTAATGAGGGAACTTTTTGGTTAGACTTTCTTACTATGCAATTTAGGGCGAATTCGAGGCCATCCAGTTCTCTTCTCAACCTGAAAGGCCCCATCTTCGTCCTACTCCATCAAGAAGTAATACATCTATTGGGATTTATTATGATGGAGCGTTCATATAAAAGACTTCCAACTGGCGGGGTTATGGTATTATCAACAACCATAGACACCCATCTTGATCGTACTCTACCAAGAAGTATATGATGGGCGTGCTGAGAATATCCATTGTTCCACTCTAATTGAAGCTGAAGCAAAAACTTTCTTGAGAGTGTTCAAATTAGCTCAAGAATATGGCTCCCCTTGAGTTATTCGATAAGATTTTCAGTTTCTTGTTCGCTCTCTTGAGATTCATCCATTCGTGTGACCATGGAGTCGTGTCACTTGGATTGGTTTGATGATCCCTACCATATGCATGCACCAAATAAAGGTTTTCAGGTTCTTTGAGATCGATCCATCCTTGTGCCATTGCATAGTGAGGCTTGGATTGGGTTGATGATACCTATCCTACGCATGATGCCTCAAATCAAGGTTGAAGTTTGTGATCTCTCATTAATCAAGCAAATTGGGTGCTAGATCATTAGCGAGATCTAATCTCCTGAATAACACCCCGATTTATATTTTCGATTCCAACGAATAAGAATTATTATCATTTACCTCATTTCTATTTTTTTTTGAAGTTATCGTTCTTGTAAGTTGTAACCTTACTTTTCAAATTTTGGAAAAGGTCATATTATGTGTTAAAAAAACAAAATGTATGATCGCACCCCACTAGTGTTGGTGGAATCGCACCCGTTTCAAAAAAACAACAAAATGTAACAAACTAGAAGACTGCAAAAAGGAACGTCAAAGTCATGGGCCGAAGCTCAACCCATGTGAGTGTCTGTCTTTCAGTTCCAAGCCCAATCTAGCCAGGTTCCCTTTAAAGGCCCATCAAGTTGTACGGTAGCTCCCCAGTCCAATCTGATTCCCATCAAACTAACCGCCTTTTTTCTGCTACTCTCTGTCTCTGTCTGGAATAGCTCTGTGCTCTGGCTCTCAGTGTTACGACTTGTAATTTTCAGTGTTGCTGAATTCGCGGAAGAAGCGAAGGAATTTCTTCGACGACGCAACTCGTAGCAAGCAATAGTTCCCCCAATTTCACTTGCAATTCCCAATTTGCAAAAGCAGTCGAAGCTTTTCCTGTGGGGGGCAATGAGGGGTATTGATCCCTTGCCGCTTCCACTCCGCAGTTCAATCCGCTCTGGTGTTATAGTGTTCGACTTGACAAGAATTGTGGAGGAACTCGTTTTCAATAGCTTGGATGCCGCCGCGACTAAGGTAATTACGCTCCGACGACCCTTCTTTCACCTGGGTCTGTTCTCCATTGGGCGCTTCTAGTAATAATTTCTTTAGCAATTACGTTCCAACCACTCTCCTTTCATCTGGTCAGGTTCGCCATTGGGCGCTACAGGTGTCCATGCAACCAATTTCGTTCTTTTTACCGTAAAGTAATTGATGGGTTTTTTCTCTCCAGGTTACTGTGTTTCTTGATGTGGGGTCTTGCTATGTTAAGGTGGTGGACAATGGTCAGTTGGGTTTAGTCCTTTTCGCGTCGATAAATGTTAGTTTCATCGACAGCTTCTTATTCTCGTAATCTCGTTCCTTTTTCTTGGTGGTTTTTAGGTTCTGGCATCTCTAGGGATGGATTGGTCATGTTGGGAGAAAGATATGGTGCGTACACTCAGACTTTCCTTCATTTCTGTAGGGTTCTTGTTCAGGGCTAGAGTTATTTCTTCTCTTTCGTAGCCTGCAAGTTAAGAACAAAGTTGTTCATACTGTTAAGGAATGTCTCTGGGTGTCTCTAAAATTCTCGAACTTATAAAATATCAGATGATTAGTAGATGGCTATGATAGGTGAATGGTGTATGCTTATTTAGTGATTCCTCTGATAATGCTGGGGAGTTTTGTGTTTCAACAGTGACATCAAAGCTTCCTAGTGATGAGACATTTGGCTTCAGAGGGGAAACATTGGCTTCCATCTCTGATGTCTCGTTGCTGGAAATTGTAACAAGAACCCGTGGAAGGCCTAATGGCTACCGGAAGGTCTTAAAGGTTTGTTTTTAGTTCATTAACCTTCTAAGATTAGTCTCTTTTTCCTTTCTCTCTTGCTTGTGAGTTATTTTTTTGTTCTTAGCTCTGCCTTCTTGAGTATTCACGTTCTCACTTGTCTACAGGGATCAGAGTGCTTATATCTTGGAATTGATGATAATAGGAAAGATGTTGGCACAACAGGTGAATCATTCCATTTAACCAGTATCCATTTGAGTATTCATGATCTTCTTACAGCTCCTGTTATACTTTGACCTTTGTGTTAAAAAAATTTCATCTTACATCTTGGCAGTTACTGTTCGGGATTTGTTCTATAACCAGCCCGTTCGGAGGAATTTTATCCAATCCAGGTTTGTTTCGGCCTATGCTCTTTCAGGTCTTAGTGGTCTTACTCTTATGGGAATTTATACGCAATGCACTTTTGATTGATACATTGATCATTTATACTTCTCAATTGGCAGTCCCCAGAAGGTCTTGCAGTCTGTTAAGAAATGTGTCCTTCGAGTTGCCCTTGTCCACTCAAAGGTCTCCTTTAAAGTCATCGACATTGATAGGTGTGGTGCTGCTCTTTGTTGCAAGTCAGAACTTGGTGGCTACTGTTTTTGTTCTTGACATTTGCCTTCTCCAAATTGTAGTGAGAAAGAGCTTCTTTCCGTTCAGCCTTCTTCTGCCATGTCAATTTTGATGAGTGACCATGGGATTGATGAATTCAGCTCTCTCCACAAGGTCAATCATACTGATGGCTTCTTGAGTCTCTCTGGCTACATGACTGGTCCATCCGATAAATTTTCTGCAAAGGTAGGATCCTTATCTAGACAGATACCAAATACTATCCTACTTGCCTCTTTTTTACCTGGTTTCTCATTGGGAATTTTATTTTGTTTCTGCAGGCCTTTCAATATGTTTGTATCCGTCATCTTGTATATGCATACACATTATTCTCAGTTTTATGTTCTACGAACTAGTTTGTTTTAGACCTTTACAATAGCAGATATCAACTCACGCTTCGTCTTCAGAGGTCCAATCCACAAGCTGCTTAATCACTTGGTCATGACGTTCGAGAGTCTGGAACAACAGAGTGATTATGTGTCTCAAAAGGGAAAGAGAAGCCGGTCTCAAGCATCCATGGCCTACATTGTGAACTTAAGTTGTCCTTCTGACCTATATGATCTAACTTTTGAGACGTCAGAGACTTATGTTGAATTCAAGGTGAAGCCTCTCATGTGTCAAGAGGAACTATCATATCTCTGCATAGTGAATTAGCATATCCATTATCTGTGTGCGTTTAAGTTGACAAATTTCTGTTTCTCATCTCTTTTCATTCTTGTTTTACTCTTATTTTCATCTCTGTGAATTGGTGGCAGGATTGGGGTCCAATTCTTACCTTTATTCAAAATGCCATTCAACAAGTCTGGAGCAGGATTACTAACGGTAGTTTGCTTTCATGAGAACCATAATTTGTGAATAGTTATTGCTATATATCGTGATCTTTGGATTGTTTGCAGGAGAATCCTCTTGTCATGGAGTAGACCTTCTTGATAACAGTGAATATTGGAAGGGAAAGGATGATATCTCATTTGGAAATGAAGGTACGTTACTATCATTTGTGGGGATGCTTTTCAATTTCAAATGCATATATTTTGAATCTATATCACAAATGTATCTGCACATCTTTGCATGGATGTTACTGACAACCATGGTTTGGACGTAGACTCAACAGAGAACTCGGTTGTTGCAATTGATAAGTTTCAAAGGCAGCAGTATGATCTTGATTATTCTCCCCTTCCAAACTGGAAGAAGCATCTTGGTGGAACTTTTAAGAAGGATTATGATAAAGCTACATGTCTAGAATTTGAAATGGATGCTTCTCAGTTCAACGAGCAACAATCGGAAATGGGGTTTGACTTTCCTGCATCTCTCAGCAGTATTGACTTCCCAAATGACGATCTTGAATATAGACATAACACTAGACGGAAGCACAGTGGGGACATGGGGGTAAGCCATTTAAGTTCAGATTGGAAGAATGAGTCCCCTAAAATTGAGTCTGCTAAGATGGAATTATCTTCAGATCATGAAGAGTGGATAAAACAACTAGAGGTTAGTCAAAGTGGATACGGCTGCAGGGATCCTGAAGCGACATTTCAAGAATTTGAGGTGCATGCTTCTGTATTCAAAGGGCAGCAAGTTGAAAGGAGAGCTGTGTGCCAACGAGGCTTCTCAATGGAACCCATGGTGGATGTCCCTGATTGTGAAAAAATACCTAATGCCGGCCAAGAGTATGCCACCAAAATTTTTGTATCTAATCACAATTCCGAGTTTTCTGATGACAGGCTTACCAGTGGAAAAAATTGCAGTGATTACATGGAGGGAAATCCTTTCACATACTGGCAGAATGAGTCCCTCAAAAATGAGTCAGCTAAGATTGCATTATCTTCAGATCATGAGGTGTGGAGTAAAAAGCTAGAGGGTAATGAAAGTGGAAAAGACCACTTCTTGCATGGTTGCTCATCAATGAGAAGCTTTTCATGCAGCAAGGGTGTGCTAAATAGTGAGGAGGAACCTGAATTTTCACTTGGTGAACCCCAGTTCCAAAGAAGGCGACTTTGCTCTGACGAAAACATGGGTGTACTAGAAGTTGAGAGTAGTAATCAGAGGGGTGATATCTTTCTAGGGAACGGAGGCCAGTCGTCTGTTGAAAGCGGAAAAGACCACCTATTGCATGGTTGCTCATCACTGAGAAGTCTGTCATGCAGCAAGGGTTTCCTAAATAGTGGGGAAGAACCTGAATTTCCACTTGGCGAACCCCGGTTTAAAAGAAAGCAACTTTGCTCTGATGAAAACATTGGTGTACTAAAAGTTGAGAGGAGTAACCAGGGGGGTGATATCTTTTTAGGGCAGGAAGTGCAGTCATTCGCTGATAGTGGGGAAGGCCACTTCTTGCACGGTTGCTCATCACTGAGAAGCCTGTCATGTAGCAAGGGTTTTTTAATTTGCGAGGAAGAACTTGAATTTCCACTTGCTGAACCCCAATTCAAAAGCAGGCGACTTCGCGCTGATGAAAACGTAGGTGAACTAAAAGTTGAGAGTAGGAAACAGAAGGATAATATCCTTTTACGGCAGGGAGAGCAGGCTTTTGCTGAAAGCATAGGACTTCATTCTGATTTTATCTTGCATAACAGAGGTTTGCCGTCACCGGATAAATGGTTTATATCCAACTCTGATTCAGAAACTTCAGATGCTTTTCTTCAGCCCAGTTGGAATGTTGAGAGCTTCCCCCGTGATATTAAAGATGAAGTGGGTGTGAAGTGTAGGAATGTGTCAAGAGATAAGGGGGGATGGTTACAGTTTGACTTGCACTCTGAAGGTCAACCTAGCAATGACAAGTATGAAGTTGAACGGGATATAACAGATGAAGTGGGTGTTAGGTGTGGCACAGTCAAAGACACAAGGTTGTTATCCTCACAGCAGAATCACGTGTCAAGAGATAAGGCTAGCTGTTTACAGTTTGACTTGCATTCTGAAGGTCAAACTAGAAATGGCAAGTGTGAAGATGAACTGGATATAACAGATGAAGTGGGTGTAAGGTGTGAGAGAGACAAAGACACAAGGTTGTTATCCTTACAGCGGAATCACCTGTCAAGAGATAGGGCTGGCTGGTTACAGTTTGACTTGCATTCTGATGGTCAAAATAGCCATGACAAGTATAACGATGAACGGGAGAAACTAGGATACCAAGGTGGGAAGAATGATCTTCAGGGACATCACTGCAGTAGAAGTTGCTCTCCCCCTCCATCTGTAAAGCAGAAGAGGAAGTGTGTTCCCTTGAATAGTTCATTCGCAGCAGGAAGGAAACCTCGTAATGAATTGGCGTATATTGATGGTAATGCTTCAAGTCTAATACCTGAATTTGTGATGTTTTATAGAGATGCAAGATAATTAACGTGCATATTTTGCAGGGAGAAACGAAATTATGGATTTTGCGCCAAATAGTGGCGAGGAACTTATTTCAACCACCAGGTACCATGATCCTCTCTCTTTTCCACTTGAGACTAGTGCAATGTATCGATTACGCATCTCATTGAGCCTGATTTCGAACCAGAAACCGATTATGCATCTCTTTGGGCCTCATTTCAGACCAGAAATGAAGTACAGAAAAAGTGTTGTGCCAGATGTGGAGGAGGTTCTAGAAGGGAAACAGGTTGAACATGGGTGCCTGGGGGTGCATAATTCTCCAGGTGACTATAAATCCAACTCCTGGGACAAAATTATGGTTGTTGAGCAATATCACTTCAGTTGGCGTTAGTAAAGGTTGATTTTTTTGTTGACAATGTTACTGAAGGTTGATTGAGATTGGGGTTTTACATACATTCGGGAGTGGAAAATATTAAAGAAAAATTATCTATTGATAACTGAAGATGAAGGCTACTTAATGAACTCAGGGAACTCTCTAGGTTTACTGTGTTGTAGCTTCATCCTAAGCTAAGGATCCGGTTGCTTTTCTTTCACGGTTTCACCTACATTACTTTTACATGTCCAATCTTAAGTCCTTACACTTCCATTTTTCATTTATCAGGCTTTATGACAAATGAAAGCAGAAAGTTGGAAGATTTTGTCACCAAATGGAGGAACTCCTCTAAAGTAATTAAGTTTCTTATCTTAATATCTGAAGAGCTGTTACATCTCATCAGAGCAATACTATTTGTTCTCCACTAATTTCCTTTTTTCCTGTTACTGGATCTTCTATGCAGGAGAAAAATATGAAAACAGGATGTGATGGTGGCAGTCACCATAGTAGCATACTTGACATATCTTCAGGGTTCTTCAGTTTGGCTGGTAGAGAACTGATTCCAGAATCTCTACAGAAGAATTGCCTCAGGAAGGCTAAGGTTCTTCATCAATTGGACAAGAAATTTATTCCAGTGGTTGCTGGTGGAACTCTCTGTGTTATAGACCAGGTGCCATTCACTTTCTTCTAATTGTCAGCAACATGCTGCATGAGTTTTACCTTGGACATCACACTTAGATTACAATTAAATACAGGTCATTATATGTGTAAAATAACAGTTCGCATAATTGTTTTGACATTTTGCAGCATGCAGCAGATGAAAGGATCCGGCTGGAGGAACTTCGAGACAAGGTTAAAAAAAAAAAAATAGTTCCCTTGGTTGATGTTTGCATCCGAACAGTAATAACATAAAAATTTGAATGACTCTCTAGGTGTTATCTGGAAAGGCTAGGACAATATCATATCTCCATCCCGAAGAAGAGCTGGTATGCCTGTTTCTTTTCTGCTTAAGTTTCTGTCCTAGCATGTTGTAGGCTTTTGTTACGTTCTTCCTAATGATTTGGAAATACTGGGGGACTTGTAAAACAGATTCTTCCTGAGTTTGGATATCAGCTTCTTCATGATTATGCTGGTCAAGTAAGAGAATGGGGTTGGATTTGCAACATGCAAGCTCAAGGTTCAGGGATGTTCAACAAGTAATCTCTTTCACAGTCTCTCGCTCTCTCTCCCTGCTCCAAGTTTTGGTTGTTTTTGGAGTTTCATCTCTGAATTTTCTGCAGGAACTTGAATGTCCTCCACCAACATACGGCAGTAGTGACCCTAATTGCGGTAAATAACAGCTTCGTCCGTGTTTCAGATCATCCTACTAATTTTGCAAACAACTTTTTTTTGTCTCATTTTGTAGCCAAGTTTCGATGGGAACTGAAAACTACTTCTTAAGTGATATTCATTTAGAAAAAGGTTTGAAAAATTTAATTAACATCCTTGATTGTCTGATGAGCAGGTACCCTGCATTTTAGGAACTAATTTGTCTGGTGGAGATCTCCTGGAATTTCTTCAGCAGGTAGTCGATTCAATGTCCATTCTCATAACAGCCCAACCTTCGAGCTTTTTTGAGTTGACACTTCCTTTCCAATCTGTAGCTTGCTGACACGGATGGGGCTTCAACAATACCACCATGCGTTGGTAGAGTCTTGAATTCAAAAGCATGCAGAGGTTAGAGTTTACGAAATATAAGCCAAGCGATATTTTTTTTTTGTGGGTTTGGTGTTACTGATTCCTGAGGCTTGATCCTGCACCGCATGGCATTGAAGGTGCAATTATGTTTGGCGATTCTTTGCTGCAATCGGAATGTGCGCTAATCGTGGAAGAACTGGAGAAGACTCGTCTCTGTTTTCAAGTAAGTGGAGGTGGTGACACCTTGTTTAGCTACTATCGCCCTTGTTTCTTCAATGTGAAGGAATGGACATGGTGATTTGTGCGATTGTGCTGATGCAGTGTGCTCATGGGCGACCCACAACCGCACCTCTGGTGAACTTGGCAGGGTTGCATGGTGAGATCACCAAGGTATTAGCTTTGACGAAGAAAAACGACACATTTATTTTACAACGTCAGGAGCTCAGCATCAGTCGTGCAACCCAGCGGTTAGCTGCTGGCAGAGGAGCTGCTTAAGATGTGCATCCAAAACAAGTAGATAAAGTGTCGTGTAGGACTACGATTTTCCATTTAATCGATTCTTTGAGTTGTTTTCTGATGTATATGTTCATCTCATGAAATCAAAATGCCAACAGGAGAATGTCTTTTACTTCTTCCCGTCTCTCACTGCCATAGTTCTGGATGTACAGAGAATATGGACAAATACCATGTATTATTGGATAAACACCACGAAACGTGAATAAGTTGACATGAGAATGAAAGGCAGCAATGGCAATCAAAAACTGGAAAGGAAAGTTAACATACAAAATGATACCAGAAAATTTTTCTCCACTCTTCAGAATTACCCATTCAATGCACAACAGCATCCAGGAAGGCTTCTCTATTCAGTACCAAGTAGGCGAAGCTAACCAAATTTAATCACTTCAGCTTTGGTGACAAGAATTAACCAGTACACACGAAGGTGCCCACTTCAAATTCCTTTCACCTGTTCAAATACAGCGTCCCAGATCACTCTTCTGTTGTTCCATAACACAAAGATCCCCATCGATGTATGCTGTGGTGGGCATTCAATCGTGCCGAGGGCAGTCCAGAAACACCTTTGTTGCATTTAACTTATGCCTCTTCTGCATCACTAGGGTGAGAAGTCCCAGCTTGTACAAACATAAGTTTATATTCTTCCCTCGCCAACTTTCCATCAAGCTGCATCAGCAGCTACTGCTACTTCTCGCACTTTGCGTTTCCTCTTGGTTTCATTTAGATCTTGGTCAGCTTTGGATACGATTTTCGAGACTGTAAACCCTGCAACTTCAAAAATCTCTGCTCTATAAGGTATCAAGGAGTTTCTAAGGACCACATCGATTCCATCATATGTCCAAACACCTAAGACTGCATCTCCTTTTAGTCCAATCGCAAACCAGCCAAGACCTGCTGCAGCAATGTCTACTGAACTTGAATCCCAGCTATTCCCAGTTACGGTGAATTCATGTCTCACCCATTTTCCAAGCTCTTGGACTCGTTTTACCCCAATTGGTGGCTGAAAAATAAGGAACATCACGTAAGATCATTTCACGTATACATATCTCTGCAGTTAGCATAAAAATCCTTTGCTAGAGAGCTGGTAGAGAGTCTATATATCAAGTGGTAAATTTTTTGCTGATGCTATCCTTCACAGTTCACAACAGTCACTAGAGAAACAACTAACCAATGAGGCCAAGATGCAATTTACCTGTAACTGACGGCCAAAATGTTCTTCAAACATAGTGCTTGCATTTTCTGTTTTCCCCATATGTAGTGGAAGATATGGCGAACCCCAGACAGTCACATATATAGAGTCCACCGATGATTCTTCAATATCTAGCCTCATAAGTCCACCAATGTGAACTGAGTAACCTACCTGTCACAATCAGTGTTCCTTAGAAAAAGCGTCAACATATAGCATGCAATGAGAAACAAATAGTCATACTTAAAAGGGACAAATTTTATCTGCACTACAATAATGTGAATGGAACATATTGTTCCAATGGTCAAGTTGCTGTACTTCCTAGTCAATGAAATAAGGATAAAGATTGCCCTTTTTTGGTGCATATGCTAACAAACCTTAATTCTGTACGTCCTCGGTTTCAACTCCTTAGTAATCTGAACAAGCTTCTGCTCATCCCTAGTCAAGCGAGTTGTAATCTGATTCGGGTTAAGAAGCCCTGGAGTGTCAAACAACTTTGCATTCCCAGGAAGAACACCCTCCACCCTAATTATCCCCAGAGTAGTTCCTGGTACAGGTGCCTCTGTTAAATGAATAACCTTTGCTTCACTTCCACCACCAGCACACTTCCCCATCGCATTCAACAAAGTACTCTTGCCAGCATTCTGCATTCCAACAGTCCACACATGACCTCTAGCCCCAGCCAATTCTTTCACATCCTCAACCAAATCCTTCAACCCCCAATCCTTGACAGCACTCACAAAATGGACTTTCTTAATAACACCAGCACCACCATCCCTGGCTCTCTGCCTAACCCAATGCTCGAATCGAGTGGGCGATAAAGAAGTAGGCAACAAATCAATCTTCGTAATCACCAGAACAACTCTAGGCACATTCCCTGATTTCCCCTCTTTCCAATTCGTGTAGTTCTCATCAATGGCTTCTGTCACAAGCTTCGCAAGCCTCCTCGGAAATGACCCATCAAAATCAACAGCATCCACGACTAATAGAACTACTGACCTGGCCCCTGAGGCTGAAACCAAACGCTTTCCTACAGCATGATAGAAATCGAATTCTGGCAACAGATTCTCCACAGTTGGGTCCTTCACCTTTCCGTAGTGTCTCAACGAGTGACAGCGGGCGCACACAACAGGCCTACCGGAGAATTTTCCCCCGGTCGAAGCAGCGCTGGTTTGAGGATTTTCAGAGTCTTCAACAAAACCCTTTTTCAGGGAACTGGAGACTTGCGACTCTAGCGCTATTGGTACCAGCCGCCCTCTGGATTTATAACTGGGATCCCTTGACGAAGGTTTGACAAAGAATCCGGGATGCTTGGCGTCTGAATCCTGCATACGGATGCCGCAGCCAGGGCAAACGGCGGCGGAAGGCGTTGCCTCGTCGACATTACCATCGCGGGAGAGGAGCAAAGAAGACGAAGGCTTCTGAGATTTTGCCGCGGCAGCTGAAGTGAAAGGATGACAAGAGGAATACGACGAGGGAAATGGAGAAGCGGAGACGGAGGAGCCCTTTCCTTCGGCGAAACGGTGGTGGTGTGCAGGAGATGGAAGGGGATGATGGTTTTGGAGAGATGGGGAGAAGCGAGAAAGGGAGAAGAGGGGCTTAAGCTTCGATTTCGCGACGGAGAGGTTTCTAGCAATCACCATATCCAAATGGAGGTGAAAGCAACAATGAATTGCGGAATTCGGAAATTTGTGAAGGCGAGGAGGGGAAGAGTTGGCGAGCAACCGAGGGGGATCGTCGGAGGGAATTAGGGGTTTTCAGGGGTTTAACTCACATAAACATGGTAACTATCTAAATCGATTAGACAACTTTAGTATTTCTACAAAGTGGTCATATAACTTTAAACTTATAACAAAATGATCAATTTTTTAGGGATGGCAATGGGTTCGGTCGGGTCGGGGGCGGATACTGAATATCTGTTATTCTAGCTAAAGTAGTTAGGTTTTTACTCATACCTATACTCACATAAGAAATGGGTACAAAATCAAAATCATGCCCATACCCGTTCGGGTTTTGGGTCTCTACGGTTATCCATGGGTAATAATTTCTCTTTATAAGTCCAACCAATATGTAAACATTTCCACGTATTCTCACATTAAACCAGAGGAAAAGTACAACAATTTTTCACTAGAATGATGAAAATTAATTAAAACAACACAATTTCATGAAAATATTATATTTATATGCTAAATGTAAAATATGTTAGAGAAAAATAATGATTATTTCTAGACAAAGTACATACACATATATATAATTGGGTGGGTTCGGGTTGGATAGTAAGAAAATCATGTCCACCAATTTCCCGCAATATTAGGGTTCGGGTTTTACCCATACCCACTAAAAGTCTTTCGAGTTCGGGTCTTACCCTACCCGTCCCCGATTAAGTCGGATTCGTGCGGATATCCACGCTTAAGGATATTTTTTCCATCTCTACTTTTTTGGGTAAAAAAACATATGCAAAGTGCAACCTGCATTCAAACTTACATTGAAGGGTAGGGCTGCAAATGAGTCGAGTCGAACCAAGTTTTGATATAGTTGTGGTTCGGCTAGTTAATAAATGAGTCGAACTCAGCTTGTCTACTAAAATCTTAGCTTGTGTTTGACTCTAGCTCAGCTCATTAACGAGCTTATGAGTTCTACTCGACATCGACTCATCACTTAGCTTTTTTGGACCGGCTCAAGCTGAGATATGATTTTATTTATTTCAATTTTGATTGTTTATATTATGTTATTTAAAGGTAGTACTGGAACACGTCAATGCAGTAAGGTGACATCTAAATCTCTCCTAAACATAACTACATGAAGCTAGAAAGTCAATATTAAAGTAGGAAATTAACATCAGCTACAAAATCAATTTTCTATATCAATATTTTCAATAGATTAAGAACTTTGTGATCTATTCTTCTATGAATTCGTGAGCTATGTTATTGTCATTAAGGGTTGAGTAAGTTATTAATTATTTTAACTTAAGTGAAGAAGTGTTCTAGATTATTATATCATTCATCATGAAGTGTGAATAGCTATTTTTCTTCTAACGCATAGGCACGCTTATTCTACGCCTAGGCAAGCTAAGCGCTATGTAAAGTCTCAACACCCGTCTTACGCCTAACGCCTTCTTGAACCTAAATATGAAATAATAATAAGACGAAATAAACAAAAATTGTTCTAAGCACAAAAACCAACCTACACACCTTGGCTTAATCGAACTCTAGAACAATACTCGTAATTTCTCTCTTTTGTGCTCCCATAGCTGATACTTTTTCTATGAATTGTAATGAAGCAACAGCTCTTTGTTATTAATCAGTAGATATCCGTCAAACTAATCGCTAATCGAACCATTAACATGCAGCTAACCGCTAAGATTTAAGCGGTTAAATTTCCTTATATAATTTATGTTTAGAGGTTAAACCGTCTTTGAAAAATAGGGAGGAAAGACACCTCGAGCTTCTCTTTAGATTGCTTATAATAGGCAAGAACATGCGTTAGCATTCCATCCCATAACATCGCCAACCAATCAATCAAATAAATAATCAATCTTTTCTTCAACTCTGCATACAAACAAACAAACAACAAACAGCAGCGCGAGGCAGGGATGGCACCATGGTTGCTCTTTGTCGACAAAACAACTAGTCTCCCCTGTCAACATAACAAAGGACAGGAACCCCACTCCACTTAGGAATTCAAGTTGAAACCAAAACAAAAAGCCTTAGTGGGAAATAATGTTACAAACAACAACAACAATCAGCAACAGCGTTAGCCCGCCAAACCATAATCATCTGCCGCCTGATCATACAGATTGTAGCTCCCCGCTGCAGAAGGCTGAGAACCCTGAGACAGGTAATGCAATTGGTCAACATGGTTGGTCTGAAAGCAATGATCTTCAGCAGTATTCCTACAGTACATCATCTCCTCGGACTTCGAATTGCTGCAGTTCATGATCAAGTCCTGATGATGATGGTTGTGATGATGATCAATCTGCAGGGAATCCACTTCAGTCTCCACTTCCGAAACATCCCCACCACCACCACCACCATTGTTGTTGTTGTTATTAGTAGTGGTGGTAGTGCCAGCAGGAGCCTGCTTGCGCTTGGAACGGGCGCGCCGGTTCTGGAACCAATTGTAGACATTGGTCTCGGAGATTTGGCCGTGCTGGCTGAGCTGTGAGGTTATCTCCTTGATCTTCTGCTTGGTCGGCGTCCCGTTCCCTTGCTCGAATATTCGCTCGAGAATTTGGAGCTGCAGCGGCGTCGGCGTCCAGCGCTGGCGGGCGCTCATCTTGTGGCCTCCCACTCCGCCCATTAATGGGTCGCAGTACAAGCTCCCCAGCCTCCCCCCTGCCTCCAAAAGAAACCAAAACTTTTCAGCAGAGGAAAAGAGCTATAACATTTGGAACATCAATTCAAATTCTCACATTCTGCAGAGCTACTAGAAAAAGAGTAAAGAAGGGGGAGGCGACCTGCGGCGAGATCTTGATGGGCGGAGAGGGTTTTGTGCATATCGACGAGCTGCTCGCAGATGGTGGCGTAGACGGCGATCTGCTTGCGGAGGGTTTGGAGCTGGTCGTCGGTCATGACCTTGACGTACAGCATATTCCCGGCGGCTGCAGCGGCGGCGTTAATGCTGTTGCTGGCGGTGGTGTTGCTGTTGGTGCTGGGGAAATTGAGAATTGGGTCGCCGTTATTGCAACCGTCGTGATGGCGCTGCTGCTGACGGTGGTGATCGGCGGCGGCGGCGGTGTTGTCCCACTCCATCTCTGCAATTTCAGGCTACCCACTATCTCTTTCCGCAGAAGGGCGGGAAATTAATAGTAGGGTTTCGGGGGAATGGGGAAAACGACTGAAGCAGAGGTTGAGTGGGGATTGCAGAGATAGAAGGGAATTGGGGAAGAAAGAGATGGATGGACGGTGGCAGTGGGAGTGGAGGACTGGTGTAGTGAGAATTGGGATGGATCTATTTGTTGCAGTGGATGGCAGGAGGTAGAGGGCAGCTCGCCGTTTACTTTTTCAATCATTTCGTTTCCTCCATTTCTTCCAAATTTTGTTTTTTCTTTTGAAGGTGGTATACACACTTTTAGTCCGCGCTAGCGACAGGAGGAGGAGCTTCTGTTCATCCTTCGCTCCCCGCTAATTGCGGTGTTAGATTGTCATCCATTCCCATTTTCTTCCTTTCTTTAAGGGGAATAGGGGATCGATCAATTGAAAACAACAACGACGAAGACAAACTTTATTTGTTTTTAACCGACTCTTGAAGCAAAAGCAAATGTCCCATAACAACACAATAGTGTTCATGTAAATGGAATAATGACACATGGATGGAGGGATGATTTTTCAAATTTAGAAATCTAGTTAGGATTGAGAATAGTGTTGAACCCATGTAGCTCTGACGCCAATCATTCATGTATCTAGTAAGTAGTACTAGGTTTTACTTTTTAGTTGTTCGTGAATGATCATCTATTATTATGTAAATATTGATATATGGATGACCAATGACCTATCACATTAGATGCTCATTTGGGAGTTACATGTAATCCTATTTCTATATCATTATCTCTCATTCATATGCTTTGATATAAGAATGTAGTGGTTACCAAAGTGTGCCTATAAATATAGCACTCCATTGTATCAAAAGTGAAGAACGAATAAGAAAGCTCACTTCCTCTCTCTTCTTTGTGTCTTTCCCTCTCTAATCTTCTCTTGTAGTTGTTTATCTTTTCATTATTTTCATAACACGTTATCAGCACGAAGCTCTGCCAAAATTATCATTGCTCAAAGACTCTCAACATAATCTAAGATATTGGAGTAAGATCACAATATGATCAAGGTATGTAATTCTTAGATCCTTTCTTATCTTATTGTCTTATTTGTGTTGAGATTATCTCATTCCGATATATCAAGATGGGTGCTACTTCTCGTATCCATTGATATTTTATCATGTCGATCTATTTGGATTAACAAGAAAAGTAATATAAGTGATGAGTCAATTTCTCAGTTATCAGTGTTATCCTATTCTTATCCATCGTACATTGATATTTAGAAAATGCAAGTTCCAAAAGCCCATATATTCCCCAGAAGTGGAAATTGAAGAATCCAAGGGCAAAGAAAGAAGTGGACATGGTAACAAGAATATTTGTTATGTATGTTACCATTGTAATGGAAAAGTGTGCTCGTCTTGTACCCGTTGTACGCAAAAGACTTTATTATACCAAGAATCAAAGGGAAGAGCAAATTCATATACGCTCCTGCAATATCAATATTATGGAACATATTTTATTTCTATTATAAGTTGGTATATTCTCCATTAAAGATGAAAATGATATTACATTTGAGTCATTTTCATTCCCAGAAGTGAATGAAACAATCTATTCCCCGAAGTGAATGGAGCTATAAACATGATTATATATATGTTAAATGTATTGTTTGGATCTTTTCACCAGAAGTGAGAAAAGAGGGGGAAAAGGAGAATTATAAATAAGAATGACTTAACAATTGCATTATCAAAGTCATGATAACATAATGTACCAGTTGTACATTGAAATGCATAATGGAACGCATATATAAATTCAAAATCACCTAGTTAGTGATGGTATTGTTCAAAGTAAAGCTTATTTAATTTTCAAAATTGTAGTATTATGATTCTTATTTTTTTTATGTTTTATTGTGACATTATTTTTCATACATAATTTAATTTGATATCTTTACCGAGAACAATTAACTTGATAAATTCATCATTTTGTCTTAAGTTTGAACTATTCTGAATTTACTATTTTTAGTATGTTTTTGTAAAGTATGAGTGTTGGAAAAATTCCATATAAACTATATGATAGAGTACATAAATAAGAAAAGGCTTCCGAAGAGCTTATGTTTGGTTACTTGAAGTAACTAAATGGTACTCGTGATAACAATTTGTGATTATATTCACCATGAATATGTGTTTACTAAGAATGCATCAAATCATAAGTCACCGGAAGGACAAAATATGATAAAGCTCTAAAAGGGCTAATGTTTTATGTGATATTAGTACTATCAGTACGCATAAAAGTGTAAGCCAGAAGTTGACAAGATTTGATAACTTGATAATTTGGCTGGTCCGGTTAGACCATCTCGGATCTTGATGTGGAAAAAGTTCTTTGAGAATTCATGAGAACATCATATGAGAAGTCAAAGAACTCTTCAAATAAAAGAGTTATTATGGCATGTTTGTTCTCAAGGAGAATAGAACAATTGATCATCGCTTGTATAAGAGTTGGCAAATCTCTTGAGATTTTATGGACGTGTATGCAGAACAATACATAAGTCATGTGGATCATTTGTGAATTTTATGGGTTGCTGCATCAAATGGATGATCAATTTTATTTTATCTAATCGCAACCCGATGTTTGCGAGATTGATTGCCTCACTATGGATACATTTTGATGGTTATCCAGGACATGCTAGCTTGTCGAGGACATGCTAGCTGGCAAGTGATAGTATTGGTTAACATCTAACTAACAAGTTATCATAAGTCCCCCCATTTTACAAATGATTTTGGTCAAAAACCTAACATTTCTCATATGAGAATATCAGGGTGTGCCGCATACATCCTAATTGCTCCACCACAGTATCTTAAGTTGATTCTCGTTGTAAATTGAGAATTTGTGTTGGGTATGTGAATCCCAAATGGGAAATTTGTTTGCGAAATTATTGTTTTGATGAATCACTTTTCCAACATTAAGGGGGAGAGAAAAATACAGCTAGACAAAGAGATGAGTTGGAATGAGTTATCATTGTCTAGTTTTGATCCTCAAAGTAAGAAACATGAACCTGAAGTTCATAAGATGAATTATCATTACCAACTATCAAATGCCTTTACTGGCCATACGAAGTGACCAAGTCACATATACTAGTTGTGAATGCTCTAACTAAATTTGATATCCTTGTTGGATACTCTAATATAAAAAGATGTGTATGAAAGAGCGCATGAAGCGTGATAGACCAATCGGTTCCAATGATAAACATCATCGAGAAAGAAAAGGATCTGTAATTAGAATGGTCAACTCGAGGACATGAAAACTCAAGAAGAGTAACCAAGAATAAAATATAATTTTAGTTCCAGAAGAACACATGTCTCTGAAAGTTGTGAAAGCGAAGAGATCTCAAAACCATATTAGACTACAATACTGGAACCGTAATGAAATCATTATCGATGAAATTTGTTTGTTGTATTTCAGTACTGAATATGATATGTACAATGTGAGGATCAAGAGTAAAACTCTATTGATGCATGCAAATGATGATGTTATTGGCCAATATAGAAAGAAATAATGAAACTTGCTTAACGAGCATAAAGTTTAAGGACCATAAGTCCTTGCACCTAAAAAAGGGCAAAACTAGCGGGATACAAACAAATTTTTGTGCTATTGGAAAGTATGAAATTGTGAGAGATATCACATAATGTTTTGCAATGGGTTTCTCGAAGAGACCTATCATTGTTTAAGAGGAGTTATACTCCCCTGTGGTGGATGCAACTACTTTTTCAAATCAATGTTTGAAAATTGTTGTGATAGCCTATTTGTTTGAATTCCCTGAAGATGTTATATATATTTGAAACTCCCAGAAGGATTAGTTACTCCTAGAACGATTAATTTACCTGAAGTAAACAAGTAAAGTTCTCGAGAACATATATCGATACACTAAGAAAATCCCTTGTGTGGGTTGAGACAATATAGACGAATGTGAAATACTCGTCTAAGTGAACACCTACAACAGTAGGGTGAATGGACCTTAAAAGGTTAAATTCAGATAGAGTGCATACGAGTATTTGCATCGTGCATATATAGTTGTGTTGTCTGTATGTGTTTCAAGGATTTTAAATTTTTGATTTATGAGTTGTGATTTACTTTAAAGTATGAGTTGTGTTTTATGAGTGTGCTTTGTCTAGTTCATATGTTTCTATGATGTGGGTTTTGTTATTATCTTTCGTTATATAAAAGAATTGCTTGCATCAATTTATGTTAGTTAAGTTTTTTTGTGACGATCTCATATTATTTTGATGATATGACTATTATTGGATCTCTTGAAGAGCTTCCTAAAGCAGTTGATTGCTTAGATACATAAGTTAAATTGAAGGATTTAAGATCCTTTTTATGGGCAAGGAAGGTAATGTTGAAAAAGTGGGAAATTAATTTTACATGAACGAATTGTGTTCATCAAATAACATTAGGATCCTAAGATCACTAGAAGTGACCAGAGATCCATTTAGAAATCAAGAAAGAAGTGAAACATTAGGTCCTGAAGTACCATATGTTGATGCATTAGAACACCAATGCACCTTGCTAGCCAAGCACCATATAAACTATCATTTTGGTGTTGATAATATTGGCATGATACAATGTTTCCCTCATTAGAACAGTTGAAAATACTTTGTTACCTCCGGGAACAATATATGCGATTGTTCTATTATAGTATTATCAAAGAGAGATTTGGTAAACTGTATATCCAAATCCTATATATCATTTGATCCTCATATTGGTTGATCGAAGACGAGCTATCTCTTACATATGGTGATATAAATGTTTCATAAAGAAACAAAACAAACTATAATGGGCAAGTCTTGAATGTCTTTCGTTACACTTTGTGATCCACCATATCTCAAGTACTTGTGGTTGTGAACTATTTTCAAATGAAATGATCCTGACGATCATGTATGAAGAAAATCTAAAGATCATGCATCAAATTGACAATCTAGAAGATTGTTCACTAACTCACTCCCGACAACAATCTTGCTAAAAGTTGTTCGTGAAATTTGAGTTCAACGATTCAATAATCTGAAGTGATGTGGTCATGAGGGGGAGCATATACGCACTGCACTCTTTTTCCCTTAACCATGGTTTTTCCCAATGGGTTTTCCTGGTAAGGTTTTTAACGAGGCAGTATGAGATAGCGTAATGCAATCTAGTGGTCATCCAAGGGGGAGTATTATGTAAATATTGATATATGGATGACCAATGACCTACCACATTAGATGCTCACTTGGGAGTTACATGTAACCCCTATTTCTACATCATTATCTCTCATTCATATGCATTGATATAAGGATGTAGTGGTTACCAAAGTGTGCCTATAAATATAGCACACCATTGTATCAAAAGTGAAGAATGAATAAGAAAGCTCACTTCCCCTCTCTTCTTTGTGTCTTTCCCTCTCTAATCTTCTCTTGTAGTTGTTTATATTTTCATTATTTTCATAACATGTATAACATTCTAAGCACGGTTTTACTTCTTAGAAGGTCATCTCTCCTTCCATTGTTAGAAGAACTTATTTATTGCATTTGTATTTGGGCGTTGGACCGTGTTTGGGCTCGCATGGCATAAATACGCTTTGGGCTCATTTATCTCGTGTCACCATTTGTCAGTTTTCGTGTCGTGCCATGCCAACCCATTTTCAAATTCACTAGGCTCAATCTGGGCACGAGCACGGTTTGAATCGTGTCGTGCCTACTCGTGCTTGTGATGTGCTCATATTCGTGTTTAATGAAAATGAAGAAAATTAAATACATAATGAAAAAGAAGGAAAAAGTTGGACAGAGAATGAAAATCTTAATTGAGAATGTTTGAGAATAGTAACAAACAAAGGGAAGATTGGAAGTATACCTAGTGTAATTTGACTTTTTTAATTTTTTTTACTATTTTAAAAATAATAAATAAGTATTTTAGTAATTGTATTTTATAATATTTGAACTTATAATTCTTTTTATATTTACTAGTTATGGATTGCTCGCTTGTCCTTCGCGACGAATGGAGGTAAGTGGTAACAATGTAATTGTGTTGTATAAATGATTTAACAAATGTAACATAAGACATTATTCCAAAGGCAACAAAAAAAATCACTGCGAGAGCTACATATTAATTTGGATTCGTTCATCAATGAAGTTATGAATCAGAGGAAGGCTATATACATATTATTATAGCAAGAAGAACATGTTGAATTTAGAGCTCAACAACTTATGAATGGAAAAGAACAAAGAGATATGATAATGCTTATGTTTTAGGCTTTCAGCCCATAAAATAAACTTAGAATTTATTTTGGACTTTCAACTAAGATGGAAAAGAGAAGGAAAATATAAAATATGGAAAATCAAAGAAAGCAGAGGACAATGGCCAATGAACCTAACATTTGGTTACGTAGGTTTCGATGCCACTTCCATCCTTTTCGGTTGTCAGTGAAATTTCATTGTTGTCTTCCTATTCGAGGTTGAGCGAGAGAGATGAGTAAGGATGCAAAATCAAATACGAAAAATCGGTTTTTGTTTCTTGATAAGGGTGAAGCTTTAAGCGGCACCTATAAAAAAACCTATGTTACTCTTATTAAATGAATATATGAAAGTCAGTCTCGAGCAAGAGAGGTGAGTAAGAGTAAGAAACCAAATCCGAACGAAAAATTCGGGTTTAGGGCTGCAAACAGAAATATAGGGAGAGAATGAGTGAAAATAAAAGAAAAAGGAAAAAACTCATTCAAGGTTGCCATATGTGTCTCTCTAAAGAGTGACCTTAAAGTTTGCTACAATTACTTAACATCGAGTGAGAGAGATGAGTAAAAATGGAAAATCACATACTAAAGGAGGTTTCGAGCGCAAGAAATGAGTACAAAATTCGATTTCGGAAAACAAGAAAATATTGATTTACAAAAATCATGGTTAAGATGAAAGAAATAGGGAGATAATGAGTTTAAATAAAGAGAGAGAAAGAAACCATTAGAAAGTTGTCATGTGTATTTCTTAGCAGTTTACCCCTAAACTTTGATAAAATTACTAAAAACCTTCTTATAAACATGTAACTATATATACCAACAATTTCTATAAAGAAGTATTTTTTTTCTTGTCATGTCATGCTATTACTCAATAGGTCTAAAAAATATCTAGGCATGTGCTCGTGCCTTACTCTTACCATGTTGTGTCGTGCTAGTCTATGGGCAGCACGACCCGATGCCTAGATACAATTTCACCCCAAAAAGCTGTCTTGTCCGTTAGGGTTGAATTGTTGCTTATGAATCACGAATCTCTCTCGTGCTTTGTCAATATAAAATTTGCCTAACGTGTTACATACCTCTTTGGAACTCAACATCCTTGTTGAGGTTTTCCTCACCATTGGCCCAAGAGAGACTCGGAGAAGCCCGGTAACATTTGTAACCTCCCAAGCTTCTTTTGACAGGTGTTACATACACTTGAGGTTTGCCACACCATCTTCTAAGAGGGACGCTGAGAAGCTCTGATACCACTTGTAACATCCAAACCCTCTTATGACCATGGTATATGTGCTTTGATACCACTTGCAACATCTCAACCCTCTTTTGGTCAAAATATTGTCAACTTTTGACCTACTCCCCACAATTGTGATTTTGGGGACATATCATAGTGACTTTCCGAAAGGTCATTTATCTTCGCGCTGCTCCACGCTGAGTACAACGAACTTTTAGAGTTCTTACAAAAACTTCCTCATTTCAATTCAAAATGAATCTTGTCAGTTAAAGTTGAATTATTTCTTACGAATCATTAACCTCTTAAATGTTTTGTCAATATAAGATTTGACTAAAGTGTTACAAATTAACGTTTTAATCTGACAAAACTTCGAAAACCCCTTTCATCTTCAACTATTCACGAGCCATGCTTCACCGAACGAGATCTTCAAGAAAGTCACCGGCAGAACATCCAACTAGAGGTGGCAAATGGATTGGATTGGTGGATCCATGGATCAAATGGATTGGATCTAATGGATTGGTGGATTCATGGATTGGATCAAGTGGATTGGTGGATTATCCATGAATCCAAATGACATCCTCAACCAAGGACCAATATGTAAAATGTAAAAAGTTTAGGTACTAAAATGCCACAATGAAAAATTTTAGGTACCAAAATGTAATTTTCCAATGATATTTTTCGTATAAAAAAAATTAAATTTTAGGTACCAAAATGTAAAAAATAAAAATTATAGGTACTAAACCGTAATTTGCCAATGATCCATGGATCCAATCCATGAATCCACCAATCCAATTGGATTTGGATCAAATGGATTAGATTTAAATGAATTGGATTAGATGGATATTTTTAATGGATTGATAGATTGGATTGGTGGATTGGATTGAAATTGCCACCTCTACATCCAACTAATTATCATCTGTCACAAGACTTTCTTTACATGGAAGAGAGCGATCTCGCGAACATTCATCCACTAGAAAAAGTGAGTTTTCCCCAACTTCTTGCACCACTGGTGAAGCTGAAGCAGGGGCCGAATACTAAGGACTATCTTCTACACCAAACATAAAACGTTGATCTGTGGGAATGAAATTATGAAAATCATTATGTCCATGCTTTCCTTCCAGTGGATTAATCAAACAGTAACAATACATTTATATATTGTTGTAAGAAATTGAATATATACAATCACTCACTTTAAACCCCTCTTGTGCCAGAAAAAAAGGAAACACTCAGAGCCTTAAACAAACCCCTCTTGCTTACATTACAACCCAAACAAAGAAATCAAATTATTCTAGCATAATCATACTAGCCTATGCAGTTATACTCACACTTATCCTGTTAATAAATAATAATAATAATAATAATAATAATAATAATAAATAATTAGCAACTACCAAAAACCACACCCTCCCTATCTCCAAGCTTGAAATGTAGAGTCTGAACTAAACCATCGATCTTCAAGTCTTTCTCTCATATCAAGAATCAATTCGTCCCAATAGATGCATATTCAAGGGAGACACATTTCCTCCAGAGCCTCCTGAATCAGGTCACTCATTATCAGAAGCTGCATCTCTTTCCCCACCTCATCCAACTCCTCCTCATCAATAAGCCCACATGACCACGAGTTCATGGATCCCAAATGACTCTCCACCACGTCATCTGCAGCACCAGATTTGCCGCCGTGATTATGATTCCCCAATGGAGTAGGGTATACATACTCACGAATCATTTTCCACACCTTCTCATGCAGCTTCCTTCCCCTTAAAGGTGGCAACCTCACCCCTGTGGCATTCCTTCTGACGCAAGGCACCCACATGAGCCTTTGCCCGGGGTTGAGTACACTCGTGAGCGCCTCGTTCAACAAGTCAAACAACATTTTCCCACTTCCCTCAATCTCGTCGTTATCCTTGCCTGCTGATTTCTTGCTTGATGCTGCTGCTTCTTCTTGCACTTGTTCAAACACTGAGCTTGGGATAGGGTTGGATAAGCAGATGTCTGTTGATGAGCCATCGTACAGACCGGAAGCAATCAGCAGATCCCTGATGAAGGATTCTTCTTTGTCATCAATCTCCTCCAGTGGTTCTACTATGCTGTCTACAGATGCTGCAAGCTCAGACTCATCATCGTCACTTAATCCAAGTCGGTTTATTTGCTTCCTTAATTCTGCATGATCCAGCCACAAAACAATAGCATACTCAGTTCAAAGCATACAACTTTTAAAGAAGTTGAAGCAAAATCAAACCTTTTTTCCCTTCTAGTTTACCTTTCAGATTAGAGCAGATATCCTTAAAAGCTTCAGGCATCACGTAGTCATCTTCTTCTTGGGTTACATCAGGCGTCGAGATTTGGCTGAGGCAATCAGCAGGCCTAGACCAGAAGTCATCTTGACCACTGCTGCAAATAGATGCAGGACTTGGAGGCACCTCAGTAGAGTTCTCCTGGGGGAAAAACTTCCCTCTTTAGTATTAGACCAACCAACCAACAAATTTGAGAACATTGTGCCCTGCAATGATGAAGAGATGGAGAGTGCATACCATCATGGTTATCTGTCTCTCGCCAAAGTTCATGCTAGTTGGCTGCCTAGCATTCACAGCGTGAACATCCTTGCCATAATTGAAAGATTCCACCCTCTGAAACTTCTTGACAAACAGCATGCGCCTGAGAGTGAAATTGTGTCTGAAACTGGAAACCTTTTGTCTGATATTGAATCTCTCTTTCTTCTGTTTTTTCAACTCCTCAGTTACACTGTCAAGGGCTTCATGCTTCCTCCTGATGTGTGCTCCTGTTAAGACGTGGCGATCCTCTAGAAGAAGCTTTCCAAAAGATGTTCCTGATACTGGAGCGGATAATGACCTGATTAAGTTCTTAGGAGAAGACAATTCTTTGCAAAGGCCAACACCATCATCTTCTCCATGCCTGAATGACCCAGTCTGCATTTCTGGTTCTTCTTCTTGCCTAATTTCCCAATTTGTTTGTTTCCTCCTTATAACATTCTTCAGTCTCTCTGACAAGAATCGCCTTGTATCTCGGTTCATGAATTCTGGGGAGCCATAGCCACTGAACTGCTGCATTTCACTTCTTGATGACCTTGTGGATTCTGATCGAATCAAATGTGTTCCAACACTTTCCCTGACATGCTTTGCTAAGTCCCTGGCAATTTGTTTGGGATGGTCAGATGGCAATTCCCTGAAGGGAGTCTCAATTCCACTTCCTCTAACTGCAGAACCCCTTTTTTTAAAAGCTTTACCTTCCAACTCACATGTAAGCCGTTCTTTAACCTCCTGAAGGAAGTTCTCCATGCCACCTCTCTCTTCAAAAATGGCAGGGGGGCTATTACAAGAACAGTCTTCATTGCCGTAGAACTCATCAGGGCCAGGCTTCAGGATCACTATTCTAGTTTGAGCAGAAGACTTATCCTGCAACCTCTCACCAAGATCAGCGCAGTGGTTTTCGATGTTGCCACTTGTGGTTCTGGACAGTTCCATGTTAGAATTTTGATGTTGCAAAGGGCTTCTCTCATGAGATGTTGGTTTCTGTATGTGACTACTTGTACTTTCAGTGGATTTCTTCATTTGTCTTGCCTCAGAATCTGCCTCAGCTACTCTACTATCTTGCCTGTTGAATTGTTTTGGAGCTAAGAGCTGACCAGCAACGTTGACCAGTTCAGCAACCCTGGAACATTCCTTAAACCTGGCCGCTTGCCATGCTTCAAATTCCTTTTTGAACTTCTGTAGCTCTTCTTCTTGAGGATGCTCTCTGCGTGTCGGTTTCCCTGAACTATGGCCATTACTCCAATGATCAAGTTGCTCCTTCCTCGAACAATTCGAGCTGGAAGAGAAACAATCAGCCTCCGAGCCAATTTCAATCTTTCCGTTTCTCAAGATCATGTTTTCCATACTTTCACATCTTCTATGAATTGGCTGATGAACCACAGATACGTTGTCCAATGGTAACATCTCCACGCCCATAAGTCGAGCCACAATGCTGGGTGAAGTTTTCCTGTTTCTAGACATCTCCTCATTGATCAACCTTTTCATTGGTGCCTCCATTGGCAAACACCTGCTATCTGGCCAATCTTCTTCATCTTGCTGAAAGAACTGAAATATTCCCACGGCACATACATTATGCATAAGCATACAACATGCTAAAATCAGAAACAATTCCTCATTAAAACATAACTGGTTCCAATCAACCTTAAGTCGATTAATTTCCAATTCCATTCATTCAAAGAGAGCCAGTGGCAGAGACTAAAATTCAATTAAACCGAAGGAAGTATTCCAGGAAGAAGGATGAAGGAGGGGAAGAACTTTATTACCAGCCCATCATCTCCTGAATCAAAGCAGTTATGGTTACTGTCAACTTCCATCTCCAAGCTATTCCTAGGAGCCTCCAGAACTGGAATTTCACCTGCTTTCAATCAAAAGATATCATTTTTAGAAACACCCAAATGAACAACACCAATTATGAACAAAGATAATTGCGAAGAAATTGAAATGGGGTGTTATAACTTATCACCCACCATCAACCCGCCGCTTGCTGGCCAGAATTTTCCTGGCCATGGCGTCCTGATTGAAGTCGAGAAGGTGAAGCAGTAATCCCCCCATACTACACAGTCCACAGAACTGCTACCATTGGTCTCCCGGTAGTACATCTTCCGAAACCCATCAAATTGAACTTGCTTCCAAGCAAAATTAGCAGCGGAAATCCCTACCCAGTTAATGTATGATTAACGAATTGCAATTGGAGTATTCCTGAGAGCGTTACAAAAGCGCAGAAGGAATGAGCTGGGAATGAACAATGCTATGGAAAAGTTAGAGATTGCAGAGGGCTGAGAGCTGAGAGCTGGCAGAGAGAGAAGGAATGAAGGAAGAAGGGAGAAACTGAAATTCGGAAGGTGGGATTTGGTTTTGTTTAAGGGAAGTAAAAACCATCATCGTCATCATTCATCAGAGGAAGGAGATCCAAAAGGAGAAGATAATTAGATAACTAACGGGAAAATAATAATTTAATAATAAATCCCCCCCAAAAGTAAACTGTAAACCAAACAATTTACTATTATTTTAAGCTCGGGTTTCTGTTAAGAAAGAAAATAAATTAGTTAAGAAACCTGAAATATAGATTAATAGAACCTCTCATGGAACGGCTCGTGGCGGCCAGTAAACTAACCATTAACGACTTTTAAGATTCTTTCTTGAAGCCCTGAAGGTCTGAAAAGAAGAAAAATAAAACATTAAATGCATAGATAGAAAGCATTGAATGAAGAAAAGGAGGGTTACTACATTTTTGTTCCACATTAGTTAACCGTGAAAATGGAACCCTACCAAGATGTAGTGAAAGTGCTATTTCAGCATGGTAAAACCATGTTTCTATCTCGAGGTAGAAGAAGAATACATTTGCATGTAGCATTTTTAACCTTGAGATTTATCGATTGGAAAGTAGAGGGTAAAATGCACACACACCGAGTTATTTATTTAGGGGTCGTTTGGTTTTGGTGATAGTTTGATTGAGATAGTTACAATGCATGTAATGTCCACAATGCATCGTTTTTTTGAATTTTCTGCGCAAACAATACATGCATTGTTTGCTTGATTTGACACAAACTATCACTCAAAATGAGTGATAGTTAAATCTAAAGTTTTCGTTGAGATTGTTTGATGGAGATTGTTGTGTTTTCTTCTTTTCTTCCAAATATGTCCCTACCTTTTTATGTGTGTTGCTTTTTTATATTAAAACAAAGGGTAAAAGTGACATTTCACCCAAAAAGTAATATAATTTTTTTTAAATACTACAATAACTATCATAGAAACCAAACGATGTAAACTACAATACACCAATTTTCTTATATACATGTATATTATTATGCATGCATTGATGACAATACATCGATTTAACTATCACCAAAACCAAACGACCCAGATATTGTTAGCCTAATGTTTATCGATGTTGTTGTGACGCTCGTGTATTCACTAAATTCATCCTTTTGGTGTACGGTCATAAATTTGTGCAAACATAAAGGTTGGAAAAAGGAATGACCCACCTATATCATAAACAATTGCTCTTAATAATTCGAGTTATTGGGATTAGTTGGTTTATAACATGATATCAGAGTTATCTTAAAAACACATCGAATGAGAAATCGGACAAACACACACGAAAGCATAAACGAGATCGACGCGGTGTTTACGTGGTATCCCCAATTAATCGGGACTAGTCCACGGGAGAGGTTAGCCTCTCCAGCTTATTATCTTATTGACCTTCAACTCTAGCCGAACGACAGTACATGATTACATTTATATTTTGCACGAAGGAAACATAGTTTCCATGCAAGGCACAACCGACGCAACAAGAACTTGGGGCTGTGGACGAGGTGGACTTGGGCTTGAGCTCGGCAGGTGACGTGAGCTCGGACTTGGGCTCGACATGAACCTCATCTCACTCCAATATGCCCCCGCAAGCTGAATGGTGGAGGTCACGAACGTTCAGCTTGTAGAGCAAAAACTGGAAACGCTGTGTACCCATCCCTTTGGTGAACATATCTGCGAGCTGGAGCTCAGAATTGACTTTACGAGGAGCGATATCACCAGAAACAACCCGCTCTCTGACAAAATAATAGTCCATCTCGACACACTACAAGAAAATTGATATATAGCGACTAAATTATTGAGACAAATGTAGCATATGTCTCTAAAGATACCTTATATAGTACAAATGTACAATCTGTCACTATTAATGCTATTATCTGACTCGAAAAATAATTTATTAGTAACATATATAATATTTGCCTCTGTAAGTAGTAGAATCTGTCTCTAATAATATTATATGAAAATATGTAACTTTAACTTTTAAATAATTCATAATTAGTTTTAACTGCAAATTTATGACGACAACCTTCTTGCGACAGATTACTTGTAGCTCGGACATAAGAAATAATTATGCACCACCATACCAAGAAAGGAAATTAACTAAGCAAAGATCTTATATTTGTTTTCAATCCAATTAAATAAAAAAATAAAACTTAAACGTTGTCGTTTGGTGTCTCTGGAATTCATTTTAAGGGAGCCGTCAGTGGACTTGAGACTAATCATACCCTTTTGGCTAACCCTAAATCTCTCTTCACATCTTCTCAAATTCTAAAGGAGATTAGGGCTCAATTTCACCGCCGCCATCGATGTTGATGTACTTGCACATTACCCACCGCCCACCGGTCGCCATCTGCCAAAGGCAAGCCCGTCACATTAGATTGTGTTCCCAATCGCAAGTATCTCCACAAATTCATTGGGTGAGTTAATCAGTTTCCCACTGTTGTCTTTACATTATTGTTTTCATCTTTCCCCTATTTTGTGGCTTGTCATCTACCCCATCAGCGTTTATCTGTATCTAGCTCTATAAGGATTCATTTGGCACGTGGTATATACTAACAACTTCCAACTAATCGTTACTCATCAACGAGTTAATCTTTACTCTAATATAGAGATACTTGGTAGTGCTATATATCAGAGTTAACCTACATAGTTGTGTCTTGTGGTTTCTTTTTTGAATTGGTTGTCATGCTCGTCCTCAATTGGAACTTTTTTTCAAATGTAGATTTCCACAATCCCACTTATTGGACTGCGTAAAAGATTTTATGGAGCTTCCGCAAAATATATGGTTGGTTTTTACTTTTTATATGATTTGTTGGTCAGTTTGTTTTGGATTAAATGGAAGAAAATATTAACCGTTGATTGAGATTGAAGAGTTTGTTTTGCAGATTGCACATACATTATATTGTTGAAGCATGATGCCACCTTGATGCAAGTTTTGGAGCTACATAGAAGCATTATTAGTTGAATCAACCAAAGAGGTTCAAACTTTCGACAGCGGAAGAGCAGCATTGTAGTCCAATGTCTTTAGTTTGCCCAATAGTATATGTACTCATAATTACTCTCAACCTCTTTGTTTCAATGTATAAGATATTATTGTTACAAAAGAATGTAACAGGGTCCATTTTAATATGTAAAGAAATAAGTTTTTTGTTATCTATATTTGTTCGTATTTATCATTTCAATATATCGAGTTTTGATTATTATTTGTAGAATAAAATTAATTACAAATTTTGGGAACTGAAACAATAATTAGAGACCAGCAAAGAAAAGAACAAAAGTAACACTCGCAAAAGAATCATATAACAACCAATGTTATTTGTTTCCGCAAATCATATTTGATGCAAAAATATTTGCCTTTATAATAATTTATTTGTTTCTACAACTAATATTAGTGACAATATAATCCGCCTCCAAATACCATTTTAGACTCAAATATTTGTGTCTCTAAAGCTAGATACGGAAACAAAAATAATGGTTTCCAAATTGATTTTAGAGGCTAAAATATTAGTCACTGTATCTCTAATAAGAAACAAATAGCATTTGTCTCCATATTTGTCTCTGTAGAAATATAGTGACAGCACTACTTGAGACAGATGTGTTATATGTCTCTAAAGAATTACAGAGACAAATAAATGCCTTATAGAAACAAATTGTCTCTGTCTCTATAGCTCTTTTTTGTTGTAGTGACATACTTCATGCGTTCATGAAAGACATGATTGGCGTAGATATGAATCGCCACTTGATTGTCACACTAAAGTGGAGTGGCATGAGAGGAAGGTACCCCTAGCTCGTGAAGTAACCAACGGAGCCACAATACTTCATTGACTGTGCTAGCCATAGCACGAAACTCGGCCTCAACCAACGACCGAGCAACGACCTACTACTTCTTGGTACGTCAGGAAACAGGGGCAAAACTGGGTTTGATGAAGAATCCCATGGTGGAGCGCCTCGTGCTCTGGAAGCCCCCAACATCGTAGTAGGCAGTGAGGCCTAGGGAACTAGTCGTCGGGAAGTGGAGACCCTGGCCAAGAGATTGCTTCAAGTATCGAAGGATGCGGAATGCAGCATCCATGTGAGCTTGAGTCGGGGCGTGAACAAAGCGACTCAAGATATTCACACCATAGGTAATGTTTGGACGGGTGACAGTCAAGTACTGGAAACGGCCAACAAGACGCCGATAAGTTGACCCATCGGCTAGGAGAGTAGAGACGTTGGGCTTGGTCAATTAATAGTTCTGCTCCACTACGAAAGATCTTGGACGCCTACCTCTTCAAGTATATTCAAAACATACTTGTGCTGACTGAGAATGATACCTGACGGTGAATGGGCGACTTCAATGCCCAAGAAGTAACGGAGGGGGCCGAGATCCTTGATGTTGAAATGGCGATCCACGAAGGCCTTGACACGATTTATGAAAGTGAGGTCATTGTCGGCAAGTATGACGTCATCCATATAAATGAGTGCCGCAACAAATGTGTCACCGCGGCGGTAGACAAAGAGAGAGTGGTTGTAACACCTTAGGCGAATCCCACATCGACAAAGCACGGGAGAGATCCATGGTTCATAAGTAGGAAACCGACCTTAACTGACAAGACGCGTTTTGGGGTGTAACGGAGGAGTTCTTGTGAACTCCGAAGTTAAACGTGCTCAGTGTGGAGTACAACAAGGATGGGTGACCTTATGGGAAGTCACCTTGAATTGCACCCCAAGTCGAAATCCGTGCTGGTGTAGAGGCCCAAAGCGGACAATATCTTGTCGGGAAAAGGTTCGGGATGTTACAAGTGGTATCAGAGCCTCTCCGCGTCCCTCTTGAACGATGGTGGGGCAAACCTCAACGAGGACGTTGAGTCCCGAGGGGGGGTGTATGTAACACCTTAGGCGAATCCCACATCGACAAAGCACGGGAGAGATCTATGGTTCATAAGTAGGAAACCGACCTTAACTGACAAGATGCATTTTGGGGTGTAACGGAGGAGTTCTTGTGAGAACTCCGAAGTTAAACGTGCTCAGTGTGGAG